GGAACTTAATGGTAGAGAGATGAGGGAGAGGAGGGAGACTTTGTACAAAAGTCGTTTGTTTTGGGCACCTTTGTCCCATTCGTATTTCTACCGTGAAGCAGTTGTGTTTGCATGGCTGTGTTTCGGTTTGAAGGGTGGGATATGGCAGTGAATTTACTGGGTACAGAGGAATAACACCTGAGTCCTCAGGAATGGCAACGCATGGGGATATCATGGGCAAAACAGTATACTCTGTTATGTCCATGGTACTGCTCATGTCTATAGGCGACGGTTACCACTTTCCATCAGGTGGGCCGTTAGCTTGTTTGCAATTCTAAGTTGTATAAAAAAATACCTTAGTCGCGTAGGCGAAGTCGCGTGTAAAAATAAGCATTTTAGTATTTATATTATGAGTCCAGTTTTATATTAAAACTAGGTATATTCATGATGCATGAAATTTGTTTCGAAATGCGTTGAAGGCTGCATGTTATTAGGGTTCCGCGACATATATGTACTCAACTCTAATTTTGGATTAATAATTTTAGATGCCAACCCGTCTGCCAAGCGTGGCAACTAGTGGTAAAACTCTTCTTATGGGGAAGGTTATGTTACTAATAAAAAATTTTGATGTCGTTGATCCATTGAAAAAAATAAAAAATATATTATATTTTTACTAGCTGACTCGGCAAACGTTGTTTTACCATATACATTATTTCGAGAACTATACATGAAAATATATCCTACTACAATTATTATATTCGATTGCCATCTTGCAACCCTATTGCGGCATATAAAAATCACGATTACAAACAGAGGTTGATCATAAAAGTGTGAAAATTTAAATTTGTATGTATTTTTCAATGCTGAAAATAAAATAAAAATAAAAAAAAATGTTAAAAAAATAAAAAAAAATATATTTAGGAGTAGGTCACCCTTATCATTGAGGGATATGAAAAATAGATGTTGGCTGATACTCAGACCTACCCGATATGCACACAAAATTTCATAAAAATCGGTAAAGCCGTTTCGGAAGAGTTTAGCAACAAACACCGCGACACGAGAATTTTATATATTAGATTTGCTTTATTTATTAAGATTAGTTTTAATCTGCAACTTTGTCCTTCTTCAACCCAAATGCTATATATATGTTTACTAAATTTCATGAAGATTGGTTGAGCCATTAGAGGTCGAGAAGTAATCTTATTACGGTTTACTGTTTAAGACATTAATTTCTCTAAAGATTTGTAAAGTAAATGATTTAAAAAAGAAATTAAAAACTGTGAACATGCACTTAATATCTATATAATTTATTAAACATTAACTAAAAATAAAACATCATGTGAAACTACCTTCATTTTGTAAAAAAATGTACGATGCAATGCGACTCAACACAACAGGTTAGTTTTTAGAAAATCACTTTTAGAAATTAATTCTTTTGAGTAAAAAAAATATGCATGTATTAACAAGGGCTCGCACTGGACACTGTAAACTAAACAAGCATATGGCCCAACTAGGCTTATGCCCAGAAAGTGTTTGCAGATTTTGTCACAGTGAGGAAGAAACGCCGCAGCACTGAATGTGTGGCTGTAGCCCACTCATACATAAACGATTTTTTTTATATAGCTTAGAATGGCAAACAAGCTGACGGCCCATCTGATGAAAAGTGGTAACCGTTGCCTATAGACATGAGCAGTTCCATGGACATAACAGAGTATACTGTTTCGCCCATGATACCCCCCATGCGTTGCCATTCCTGAGGACTCAGGTGTTATTTCTCTGTACCCTGTAAATTCACGCCATATCCCACCCTTCAAACCGAAACACAGCAATGCAAACACAACGATACATCTGCTTTGGAAAACACACTCTGTATACTGAGGAGAAAAAAAAACATCGCTACAAAAACATTTTAAAATTCCTACCATTGATAGGGAATTAGCAGCGAACTTTAAAAATGTGCGAGGACAAAAGATCATAGAAAGGTCGTAGTGTAACAGGTTTTTTTTGTCTGGGAAAAGCCCGTCTTTTAATTATAATATTAATAGGTTACTTTTTATTTCAGCCAGTGAACAATATTTACATTTTTATATACATGTTATCTCGATTTTGTGGACGAAGTCGCGGACAGGTGGTCTACCATAAAATGAAATTCCGAATTTTCGGGCTCAATTTCGTGTTTTTGTTCGCACCGAAATCGGCCCAGTAAATGGAGCTTAACATTTCGTACATCATAAATCCTATCCTAATAGTGCAGGGGAATGATATTTTAACATTTTTAACAACTTTAAACGGCATGTATAACGTAATTTTAACATCAAATTTCAGTTTCGTTCGTGCCCGAAATTTCGGAAAATATTTCATGGTAGGCCCTCTGAAACTGGAAAATAATATTTCCCTTATGTCGTATGAATAAATAAATAAATATTATTATTATAAATTCTACTGGACATGCAGATTTTGAGACATATTTAAATGTCTTTATTATATTTATTTATTTTACACTTTATTGCGTCAAGTAAAAAAAAAAACAAATCTTCGTGTTATTTAAGAGTTTCCTCTTGTCGGTGCAACTAATACATGCATCTTCTTCCAGCCAGCTCTATCCTAGGTCATATCCTTTACCTCCGACGATACGACACGACATGACACCTAGTGTTTCTTTTATCTGTCCCATGTCACTAGAAAGAGACTTTGTACAAAAGTCGATTGCTTGGGTACCTCTGTCCTATTCGTGTTTCAACCGTGAAGCAGTTGTGTTTACATGGCTGTGTTTCGGTTTAAAGGGTGGGATATGGCGTGAATTCACTGGGTACAGAGGAATAACACCTGAGTACTCAGGAATGGCAACGCATGGGGGGTATCATGGACGAAACAGTATACTCTGTTATGTCCATGGTGCTGCTCATGTTTATAGGCGACGGTTACCACTTTACATCAGGTGGGCCGTCAGCTTGTTTGCCATTCTAAGTTGTATAAAAAAAAATTTAGTTATTCCTCCGTCTTCCTAATCCTCTTCTTCTTAAAAAAAATTATAAATACAGTAAATATTAATGAGAAATGATACAAAAGACGACCTTATTGTTAAGTAACGTTTTTATTTTCGTAAATACGTATTCGTATTTCGTAAATTATAACTTATTTAGCAAATTGTACCTATGAATAGATTTATTAACAATTCAATGTGCCATGTAAAGGTTGTTTACTCACTTAGGTAAGGTTAGTATAACGCAGTCGGTGACCAGGTATAAAAAACTAGATATAGCAATTATAACATTGTTATAAAAGACTTTGTTAAACTCTTAATTGCGGTATTTCATATTTTTTTTTCCAACAATGATTCCCATTGTAAACGATCAATTGTTCGATCATCAGTCGTTTATGATAGTGAGTATTGACACAGATAATATACTAGCCATAATAATATTCTCACCAGAGGGAGACTTTGTATAAACGTCGTTTGCTTGGGTACTTCTGTCCCATTCGTGTTTCTGCTAGAAAGAAGTTGTGTTTGCATGGCTGTGTTTCGGTTTGAAGGGTGGGATATGGCGTGAATTTACAGGGTACAGAGGAATAACACCTGCGTCCTCAGGAATGACAACGCATGGGGGGTATCATGGGCGAAACGATATGTGTGTGTACTGTTATGTCCACGGTACTGCTCATGTCTATAGGGGACGGTTACCACTTTTCATCAGGTGGGCCGTCAGCTTGGTTGCCATTCTAAGTCGTATAAAAAAATAAAATAAAAACAAACAATATTAATCTATTCTCAATTTGATCACAGACTTTAACAATAAACAAAAGAGTATATATGCGTGTGTGTGTACCAAATACATGGTAGTGTGTGTAATATATTTTTTTTTAATTTAATGTATTTCTTATGTATAATTTAAAAATATATATTAGTATTCTGCGCTCCTCTATATAAACTATAAGTGTGCCAAATTCCATACTCCTCCGTCCGCGCAATTTTCGTAAAAAGGGGTACAAAGTTTTTGCTTCACGTATACGCATACAGATTCAAAACCTGTCTATTGCAAGTTTAAATTTTTGTAGTGGAACCGTGAATTTTCCAAATTATTCGCTAGATGCCTGAAATAACGAAGCAAAAAACGTCCTTTACGTTCATATTAACGTCATATTATTTTAATACAATGCTGTAATGTAAGATTTCATGCTCAGTTTACAAATGACAAAATTCTCAAATAAATTATCCAGAATTTTACACAAGAACGTCATATTTCACTAAAAATTTCTCCAACTTTATTATTATTCTTTTTTTATACCACTAATGTAGCAAACCATCATACGGCCCAGCTAATGGTAAGCGTTTACCGTAGCCTATTAACGTTTGCAATACCAGGGATATTACGGGCGTATTGCCGATCCAAATACCTCTTTACGCCCTTTTGCAGAACCCCATGCTGTGATCTCTTGGAAAAACCTCGACCGGGAGCTCTTTTTTATGCAACTTAGAATGGCAAACAAGCTAACGGCCCATCTGATGGAAAGTGGTAATCGTGGGAAAATGGTAGTTCATTCCATAATATGAGCGTTCGTGGAAGAAAACATCTTTGGAACCGCGTTGTACGCGACCATCTAGGCTGTAGGGTATGTGGGTGAACTTCCTGTCGATGGCGAGCCGTACGATGGTAGAAAGTGGCCATGGGCATGATGCCCAAGCTATTCGTCTCTAGAACTCCTTACTTCTATCCATTAGATCAGAGCAATCTCTTGCCTCGTTCAAGAGACAAAATTGTTTACCAAAAATTGCGAAAGAAATTCCAAAACTGGCTACTTCGCATTAGATTATATATAATTATATTACATATAATCTATATATATTGAAAGTTGGGGGAAAGTGGAAATATATAATCTAAGAGAAAATAATATTATTGTACGGAACATGGCTGAACTCATTTTAATGAGTTCGTCATTTGACTTAAAGTTTTCCTCCCATGTTTATGTAGAAGGTCATTTACTTGTCATGACATAGATCAACTATACAAACGGCGAGGCTTGTTGTTTTCCGACCACCGAGTGGATATAATATCAGCCAGTTACAGTGTATTCCATTTTTAAATTCACATTTTTTAAATTTCTTTTAATTAAATTATAAATTCTTCTTTTAAATTTTTTTATTCTTCTTTTTAACTTTTTAAATTAAATTTCTAGTGATTCTGGTGTAATTGTTACTGTGTGTGTTTTGAAGTCCATTTATTTTTTCGTGTCGGTATGTTTTGTATTAATTTTGTTTCTTTCATAATTTTCCATTTTTATACCATTTCTCATAAGGTAGGCCGCCAGCTTTTTCGCCGTACAATGTTGTATACACATTTGCGTAAATGAAGTCTCGGGTTCGATTCCCGCTCATGTCAATTTAGGGAGTGAACTTTTCTGAATTGGATCTGATCTGGGTGTTTGGGTTGTGTGACCAGATGATTATTTTTTACTTAGTTTCACATAACACACTGCCTGTATTATGTGATAGCTAACTAATCAAGTTCGAGGACTAGGCGATTAGTATAATTATCTGCCATTTATTTTCATTATTATGTATTTTTCTCAGCATCACCCATGTATCTTATTATGATTATATATAAATAACCATACATAGATTTTTAATAAATATATAAATAATAACTAATTATTAAACAGATCCATTGTTGTGATAAATTGAAGTAATGTTCACGACTTTATAAAGAAGGATGTTTTCAATTTTTTTTTTTTATATTTGTTATCCCCATAACTCCATTAGTTATAAACAGATTTGGAAAATTATTTTTTTAACTGAATTGGTGTTTTTTTTTATACAACTTAGAATGGCAAACAAGATGACGGCCCGCCTGATGGAAAGTGGTAACCGTCGCCTATAGACATGAGCAGTACCGTGGACATAACAGAGTATACTGTTTCGCCCATGATACCCCTCATGCGTTGCCATTCCTGAGGACTCAGATGTTATTCCTCTGTACCCAGTAAATTCACGCCCTTCAAAAAAACCCTTCAAACCGAAACACAGCCATGTAAACACAACTGCTTCACGGTAGAAACACGAATGGGACAGAGGTACCCAAGCAATCGACTTTTGTACAAAGTCTCCCTCACAGTACTCCCTGGTATACTTATAGATTGGCTCCATAGAATTTTTATCTAAATTGATTTGGAAGTTTAGTTTTTAAATCAAATTATTTGATTTTACTATCACTGAAGTCAGATTTTTTTATTAACACATAAAGCTTTGGATATGGGCAATCGTGTAGGGCCATGTTTCGGTTCCATAACCCATCACTCGCAACAGGCACTGGTTGGGGGGAAGGGATTGTTAGTAGTGGGGAGATTAGTTCCCATTGCTATCAATATACCCTATCAGGTCGAACTGCACGTTGTTCCCCTGGAAACCATCGTGACTAATTTATCGTTGAACTCGTCACGATGGGCTAACTGACCTGCCTTTTCATCCTCACCAATCATTCCTCACTGGTGCCCCGCTACTGTATACCGATAGCGCCGGCGGGGTTACCATTACATTATTATTCATTAAAAAAAAACACGTACTGGTTAAAAATCGTTTTATTATATATTTTATTAATTTAAGTTTACGGTTACAGAACCATGTGGTATTCTATCCCGGGCCAGTTCTCTCTGGAGGAGGAGTATAAGAAGCCGACAGGTGTGACTCCAGCGGACGTGAGCAACCTGAGGCAGTGGTTGCAGACGCAGCCCCATCTGCCGGCCGAGCATATAACTGGTTAGTTACAGCCACGCATCTATGATTTGTTTCAATAGGAAATAATGAAAATAAATACACACAATATTTTTTATACAAGCATTTTTAAATAGGTTTTTTTTTATAAATCTACCACCCAGTTTGGAAAGATATACAGTTGAGAGGAATGGGCAAGAAATGCAGCTGTTGCTTTTATTTATTAATTCTTTATTGCATAATAAAATTTTGTACAAGTGGCGAGTTTACTACCATATGGAAATAAGTTAATAGCAATAACAATTAAACGCCATGTGTGTCGTGGCATACAATGGACCGCTCCTTCCTTTCCCATGGGTGTCGTAAGAGGTGATTAATGAAGGGCGAGGGATAGGCAGCAGCGACCCTCTTAAACATCTTTAAAAACCTAACTACGGCTGCCAACCCGCCTGCTAATTATGGCAACTACTGGCAAAACTTCCCTTATCGGGAAGACTTATGTTCAACAGTGGACAGTAAATGGCTGAAATAATTTTATCAAACAAAAGTTGAGTTTACAAAGTCAAAGAAAAAATAATGAAATAATAATAGATAGATAGATAGATAGATAGATACTCTTTATTGTTACCTCCAAAAGATTACAATAGTAAACTTGTTATAAATATAAATAATTACAAGAAATAATCACAATGAGAAAACAATGGACGACCTTATCGCTAAAAGCGATCTCTTCCAGACAACTTTTGGATGGAGAGGAGTAATTATGAACAATTTGGTGGGACAATAATATGACTATTACAAACTTTATATTGATAAAAAACTACAATTGATCAATTTATTTTTTTTATACGACTTAGAATGGAAAACAAGCTAACGGCCCACAAGAGGGAAAGTGGTAACCGTCGCCTATAGACATGAGCAGTACCATGGACATAACAGAGTGTACTGTTTCGCCCATGATACAACGCATGGGTTGTCATTCTTGAGGACTCAGGTGTTATTCCTCTGTACCCAGTAAAATGTAAACAATTGACTAATTTGTTGTTGTTCAAAAACAGTACAAATAAAAAGTCGATTAACTGATTGAACATTTAATAATAATTATATATTTAATTATTATCTAATAGGGAGACTTTGTACAAAAGTCGATTGCTTGGGTACCCTTCAAAACCGAAACACAGCCATGCAAACACAACTGCTTCACGGTTGAAACACGAATGGGACATAAAACAAATATATATATATATATATATATATATATATATATATATATATATATATATATATATATATATATATATATATATATATATATATATATTACAATTTGTTACTAATTTCCTTTACTAATTAATGTATCTGTGATAATTTGAACAAAATTTAATTACATTTTCTAGTTGAACATACCTGAACAAACCATACAACGCCATCTAGTGCAAACTTAACCAGATAATTGATGGATATATTAAAATACATTTTTTGATAAATACGACTTTTGTACAAAGTCTCATTCTGACAGACGTTGTTCTGTCTTTTCAAACTTATTTCCACAAAAACCTTAATTACATACATTGTTATAAATAAAAAAAAAGTCGATTAACAGTCTAATTTTTTTTTCTTCAATGAGCCAATTATTCAAAATGTAAACAATTGACTAATTGACTCAACCATAAGACTTGTTGTTGTTCAAAAACAGTACAAATAAAAAGTCGATTAACTGATTGAACATTTAATAATAATTATATATTTAATATATAATAAATAGGGAGACACAAGATGGCGGATGGCGTGCATTTCGCCATCCCTGTTAATATGGGTATTAAACGAAAAAACTGATAAAGTAGGTAACAATAAAATAAATTACTTCTTTTAAAATGACCTTAACCGTTTTAAAAGTATATTTTTGAAAATGTTTTTTAACAGACTTGTTTGTTTTGAATAATGACATGTTTTTATATTTTGCTTCATTACTTCCTATATTATTTTATTTGTCACTAGTAAATCTGTTATATCAATTTATCCTTAATATATTTAAACTATTATGTAATGTTGTTGTTGATATCCTAAATTGTAAATATAAAGAATTAACTCTAAGCTCGCGACTTCGCTTACGTAAATTTCAGAATTAAAGAAATTAATGAAATAGATCATTTCTAGATGGCCTCTGGTGGAGTTCTTTTTACGTGATGCTGAAACAAACGTAGAGATAGACTGACCGACGAAATTCTTAAGAATTTTTGTCTTAGATTCTGTTGCTCTTATTAAGATCTCTCATATATTTTTTTTAAATACCTCCCATGTACATCTAGTTAGTATGCATCGTATAGTTTTTCTTTTTTTTTTTAATGAGTGAAAATAAAATGGTAACCCCGTCCGCGCTATCGGTATACACCGATGAGGCACCAGTGGAGGATGATAGGTGTTCTCACCAATGCAGGCCAGTTGGCCCACCATGATGAATTCGACAAGAATTAACTATGATGGTTTCCAGGGGGAACCGCTTGGAGGTCGACCTGAGAGGGTATATTGCTAGCAATGGGGCTATTAGACCTCATTACTAACAATCCCTTTCCCCCTGCATCGTCTAGTTTTTTTTTGATGGGTGAAAATGGTATAGTGACCCACCTGCGTTAACTGGATACGCTGGCGGAGCACCAGTGAAGGGTGATAGATGAGAATGAAAACAGGCCAGTTAGCCCATCATGATGAATTCATCAGGAATTAACCATGATAGTTTCCAGGGCAGCATCGTCTAGTTACAATTTCATTATAATAGTGCTTAAATATTAAAATATACTTGTTTGTGTTACTCGCCACAAATTATATACTTGATCAAAAACATTTTCAGATTTGGACCTAGTTTTGGCATACCACTGCTGCGAGCGAAGTTCGGAAGTGGCCAAGCAAGTGCTCGACCTGAATCTCACCCTGAAGACGTTATTCGTTAATCTTTTTAAAGACAGATACATGAATGATAAGATAGAGTCAATTCATCATATAGTGTTAGTAGTTCATTGATCATTTACTACGGTTTTTGCATGCATTTTATTTCTCAGTCAAAATACAGGATGATAGTTTAACACGGTTCATACTTTGGCTTAGCGTAGTATGCCAATAAGTTTCAAAATCAATTGAACTTGAAAATTTTTAATATTTCTGTTTGGTTTTTTTAAAAGTGTTCTCTTATTTGTAAAAAATTGGGAATAATATTAACGTTACATATGACCCTATCACAAAAAAGTAAGCATCTACTATATTTACCAGAGGGAGACTTTGTACAAAAGTCGATTGCTTGGGTACCTCTGTCCCATTCGTGTTTCAACCGTGAAGCAACTGTGTTTCGGTTTGAAGGGTGGGATATGGCGTGAATTTACTTGGTACAGAGGAATAACACCTGAGTCCTCAGGAGTGGCAACGCATGGGGGGTATCATGGGCGAAACAGTATACTCTGTTATGTCCATGGTAATTATAATGTAATGGTAACCCCGCCGGCGCTATCGGTATACACTGGCAGGGTACCAGTGAGGGATAATTGGTGAGGATGAAAAGGCAGGTCAGTTAGCCCATCGTGACGAGTTCAACGATAAATTAGTCACGATGGTTTCCAGGGGGAACAACGTGCAGTTCGACCTGATAGGGTATATTGATAGCAATGGGAACTAATCTCCTCACTACTAACAATCCCTTCCCCCCAACCAGTGCCTGTTGCGAGTGATGGGTTATGGAACCGAAACATGGCCCTACACGATTGCCCATATCCAAAGCTTTATGTGTTAATAAAAAAATCTGACTTCAGTGATAGCAAAATCAAATAATTTGATTTAAAAACTAAACTTCCAAATCAATTTAGATAAAAATTCTATGGAGCCAATCTATAAGTATACCAGGGAGTACTGTGAGGGAGACTTTGTACAAAAGTCGATTGCTTGGGTACCTCTGTCCCATTCGTGTTTCTACCGTGAAGCAGTTGTGTTTGCATGGCTGTGTTTCGGTTTGAAGGGTTTTTTTGAAGGGCGTGAATTTACTGGGTACAGAGGAATAACATCTGAATCCTCAGGAATGGCAACGCATGAGGGGTATCATGGGCGAAACAGTATACTCTGTTATGTCCACAGTACTGCTCATGTCTATAGGTGACGGTTACCACTTTCCATCAGGCGGGCCGTCAGCTTGTTTGCCATTCTAAGTTGTATAAAAAAAAATATGAATTACATATGTTTTAGGTTGTTGCTGCCGCTGGAAATTCGAACACATGACGGCTATGCTGTTATATATTCAAGATTGTTGGACTATGATACTAAACAGTTTGTCTTTGCCGATTGCATCAGGTATGGTGTTAGAGCTATCATATTTTTATACTTAATTATTTGTCTATTTTTATATTATATTATTTTTCTTTAATTTAATCATGGCTTCAATATAGAACACACTTTGCTAAATTTTTTTTTTTTACTTTAATTATCTACACTTATAATAAATCTGTAGAGAGATCAATTCTGTACATGAAATATATTTCCAAAATAACTATCAGCGGGTGATTAGTGATCGATACTGATGCCAAAAATGCAATCAGTAAAATTTTTGTCTGTCTGTCTGTAGAAACAAAAATTACTCGATGGATTTTAACGAAACTTGGTACAATTATTCTTCATACTCCTGGGCAGGTTATAGTATACTTTTCATCGCGCTATAATCTTCGCTTATTATTTTCATCACGTAATAACACCAAAAGATCATGCTGATTGTGCCAACAACGTTGTGGTTTTTCGGATTTTATCAAAGTGATATATCAAAAAGAACGCAATGACATTGGTTTCATCTTTAACAGGACTATTTTAATGGTGATCGACCTGTGGCAGTACAAATCAGGCACCTGGCCAGGTTTTGTGATCCTCATAGACCTAGACAAAATAACATTGGGCCACGTAGCTAGACTGGACTTGCAAACAATGCAACAATTTTTATACTTCTTACAGGTATATGTTTTTAAAATATATTAACAGATTTTTCATAGGTTAAATGCTTTTTTTTTTAATTGCTGGAACTGGCCAACTAGAACATTATCTCTTTATAAATTCCATCTAGGGGTGCTGCCTGTAAAGACTTGTCTGCTCTGGTCACTGCAACCGAGTCATTATATAATCTAATACTATTTAATAGTTTATATTCACACAAATTTATTATTTATATAGTTAAATTTATTGAAAAATGCAATAGCCGAGAGTTGTTTGCCCGTTCTTCTTGGCTGAAATTGCGTTCCGAATGGGCGGTAATGAAAGATAACTATTCAAAAATGCTTAAATCTAAGTTTTTAATTGAATAAAAATATATCTTTCATTTTTCATGATAAAATAAATGTAATTATATGCTATTTAAGTATTTTATAAAATTGTGTAGTTTATAAAAATTATAACAGATGAACCAGACAGATTTTTGCGTGATACCACGTAATAGTGGTTTTTAAGTAAGTGAAAAAAATGGTAATGCCAAACAATAATTTATTCTCAAAGTGGGTAGTAGACAAAATAAGTTTGGTAACCTTTGATTTAGACGTTGCCACCCTTCAGTTTCTAAAATGTAGACAAACGTAGACAAGCGACAGGGGAGTATTATGAAATACAGTTCTGAAAGATCATTCGCCATTTTAAATTTTCAGGAAGCGTTGCTCGTGAAGATGAAAGGGCTACATTACCTAAACGCACCTCCTTTCATGGACAAGATAATGATTTTGATCAAGCCCTTTTTAAAGAAAGACCTACTTGATGTTCTTCATATTCACCAGATAGGTTCTAAGACTTTGGAGAAGTTCGTGCCGACGGTGGGCCTGCCGAAAGAAGCCGGTGGAGAATACAAGACTTTCAATGAATGTAGAGGTAATAATAATCCGGGACCAGGACACGTCATACAGCGCCATCTATTGCCGAACTAAACATTGTACTTATGTTCTTAGTTCTTACTTAGCTAATGTACTAGACTAGATGGAGCTGTGTCGTACTATGGTTACTAGTTTACTGAGATAAAATATTTATTAATTTTATAAAGGTGAAACTATTTTTTTAAATGGATGATAATGGAATTGTTAACTCCGCCTGCGCTAATGGTATACGCTTGAGGGGTACCAGTGAAGGATGATAGGTAAGAATGAAAAGGCATGTCAGTCCATCGTGGTGAATTCATTTGAAATAGAATACGGTAGTTTCCATGTGGAACTGCGAGGAGGTCGACCTGACAGGGTGTATTGCTAGCAATGGGGCTACTAATCCCCATTATTAACAATCCCTTCTCATCCCGGTAAAACTAAGTATTATTATTATAAATTTCAGCCGTTAACTGTCCACTTCCGAACATAAGCCTTCCCCATAAGGGGAGTTTTGTCAATAGTTGCCACGCTTGGCAGGCGTGTTGGCAAAACCGCAAATAGGCTTTTAGAGATGTTTTAAGAGGGACGCTGCTACCCATCCCTCGCCCTCCCTTAGTTGCCTCTTACGACCCGCACGAGAAAGGAAGGGGTGACCTATTCTATGCTGGGACCACACGGCGATGGAATTTGGTATACACATATTATATAGAACAGAGAAGGATAGAGGCTACCTTTTCTCTCGGTCAATGTACATATCCCAAGTACGTAAATGAAGTTTTAAAGCTAGTTTTTTACACACACACACACACACACACACACACACACACACACACACACACACATATATATATATATATATATATATATATATATATATATATATATATATAACCAATAAAACATACGTAATACGTTTACACAGACATACATTTTACACATTTTTTTAAACAAACATAACGTAGTGCCTCTAATAAAACTTTATATGCATTTAACTACAATTTTTTATATGTGAAATACAAGGGGAAAACCCGATGCAAACCATTAGCATTGGGATTTTCAAATACCCTTATATAATTTTAAAAAAAATCGGGGCGTTGAACATGGAGACCGACTAAGCAAACTGTTTATTTATTTATTTATTTGAAAATTACTCACCACACTTACAGTCTCCCAAAACGTTTTTTTTTTTTTTATACTACTTAGAATGGCAAACAAGCTGACGGCCCACCTGATGGAAAGTGGAAACCGTCGCCTATAGACATGAGCAGTACCATGGACATAATAGAGTATACTGTTTCGCCCATGATACCCCCCATGCGTTGCCATTCCTGAGGACTCAGGTGTTATTCCTCTGTACCCAGTAAATTCACGCCATATCCCACCCTTCAAACCGAAACACAGCCATCGAATACATTATAGAATAAAAGCCTCTAAATAAAAAAGATAAAAAAAAAGCTTAACTACGGTTGTCAAACCGCCTGCCAAGCATGGCAACTGCTGACAAAACATCTTTCAGTATTTTTATTACAAGTATGAAACCGATCACAATAAATGATTTAACCAATACACTGATCTCTAATCACAGGGTTTATTTTTCCAAAACTAACAATTACAAGATAATTGTTTAGGAGAAAGAGCGAGGACAATGTTGGCATTTCAATAAATTTTAATCTTTTTTTTTTATACAACTTAGAATGGCAAACAAGCTGACGGCCCACCTGATGGAAAGTGGTAACCGTCGCCTATAGACATAAGCAGTAGTATGGACATAACAGAGTATACTGTTTCGCCCATGATATCCCTCATGCGTTGCCATTCCTCAGGACTCAGGTGTTATTCCTCTGTACCCTGTAAATTCACGCCATATCCCACCCTTCAAACCGAAACACAGCCATGCAAACACAACTAGTTCACGGTAGAAACACGAATAGGACAGAGGTACCCAAGCAATCTGTGTTATGTTGCAACATATGTCTATCTGATGGTAAACGGTCACTGCAGCCCACAAACGTCTTTCTAACATTAAGATCTAGAGATCTAGAGCCAGGAGACTAGAGATATCTTAAACCGCGGGATATCGTTTTCTTTTTGATGGGTGAAAATGGTATGGTAACCCCGCCTGCGCTAACGGGATACGCTGGCGGAGCACCAGTGAAGGGTGATCGATGAGAATGAAAGGCCAGTTAGCCCATCATGATGAATTCATCAGGAATTAACCGTGATAGTTTCCAGGGAGAACCGCGAGGAGGTCGACCTGGTTGAGTATATTACTAGCAATAGGATTCTCAGTCTCTTTACTAACAATTCCTTTCCCCCCCGCGGGATATCGTTAGGGTAATACATAGGATCTATGAAATGATGGTATAAGGCAGGGGGGAGCACAAAAGATCTCAATGGGTCGATGTGCAACTGCTTAACTGACCCCATATGTGAAAATAATATAATATAAAGTAAGATCACATTAAGATGTAAACATCCTGGTCCATTATGATCTTTAAATGTATTTAGTATTAAGCGTACCGCTTGAGTATGCCTTCTGTATATTTATGAGGTACATTCTCACTTATCAACGGTTTGACTTCATATCATGACTGGCATTATGTGAATGTCAAGGTCGTCCAGCATCACGAGTAATTCACAGTATTATTTTGTGTAGTAACAAATTGATGTTGCATTCATGAGGAAAATAATAAAAAACAGGTTTTGTTAAAAAAAAAAAAAACACCGTCTTCAATCGTGGTTAAACCGATTATTTGAATTATATTGTATATCTACATATATATATATATATATATATATATATATAGATTTAATAAGTATGATTAAGATTGCTACCATTATCATATCAGTCTTTAACGGTCCACTGCTGAACATAGGCCTCTCCCATTTTGCTAGTAGTTGCCACGCTTGGCAGGGGGATTGGTAACCGTAGTCAGGTCATTTTAATATTATTTTGAGATGTTCTTGTCCATCCCTAGACCATCAAATTCTCTTAGCCGCATAGCATATTGTATAATATTCATTTCAAACTAACATCTTGTTTTAGCTAGTCTAATTTGGGGGGGGGGGGGGATTTCTAGTAATGAGATCCATTGCTAGCAATATACTCTTTTAGGTCAAAATACCATCATGGTTGATTCTTGTCGAATTCATCATGGTGGGCCAACTGACCTGTATTCATTCTCACCTATCACCTATTTTTCACTGGTGTCCTGTCGGTGTATACCGATAGCGCATACGGGGTGACCATTTCATTTTCACCCATTAAAAAAAAAAAATTGTCAAATTTTTTGGTATTTGGATTTTCACTTTATTTTGTGTGTGGTAATAGTGATTATTTGAATGACATGATATATATAAACCACGAATGTAATACAGAATAGTAAAGACGTTTATAGTTTTTAAAACTAAATCTTGGGGGGGCTAATGGATTGTTAAAAATGGGGATTATTAATTCCATTGTCAGCAATACACCCAACACGTGTTCTTTTCCAAGTGACATCAAGGTTGGCTAACTGACCTGCTTCATTCTCACCTATCATCTCTCACTGGTGCCCCGCCAGTGTATACCGTTAGCGCAGGCGGGGTTACCATTCCATTATCATCCATTTAAGAAAAAAACTTCTTTTTTTCAGACGATGTCATAGCAGCTTTTAAAGCGAACAAAGACTATTTCGAGGCGGAGACCAAGAAGCGAGTCGTCGAGTCGCGTCGACCCGGGAAGCCGAAGACTATTTCGGACATATTCGGAGGTGTTGAGGGCTCCTTCAAGAAATTAGAAATCGATTAAATTAGAAACTCAATTGACTGAACACAATTTATGTACGGGTGAAGTTGGAATTGTTAGTTATTCTACAAAGAGTGTTCTATCAGTGAGTCTGATCACTTTGTTTCACTGTAGATAAATTATTTATTCATCATTACAAGCATATAATTTTTAATTTATAAGCGAAATAAAAAATTAGTTGGTTTTATGTGGTTGTATTGAGCATAGAGTGATTTGAGAGATTTTTATTCCTTAAAAACATAACTGTAGTTTCTTAATTATTATTAATATAATAGTTTTATGTGGGTACAGTAGTTGTTATTTTAGAAGTGGGCTCTTAAATAGATTAATACCTTTACCAGAGGGAGACTTTGTACAAAAGTCGATTGCTTGGGTACCTCTGTCCCATTCGTGTTTCAACCGTGAAACAGTTGTGTCTGCATGGCTGTGTTTCGGTTTGAAGGGTGGGATATGGCGTGAATTTACAGGGTGCAGAGGAATAACATCTGAGTCCTCAGGAATGGCAACGCATGGGGGGTATCACGGGCGAAACAGTATACTCTGTTATGTCCATGGTGCTGCTCATGTCTATAGGCGACGGTTACCACTTTCCATCAGGTGAGCCGTCAGCTTGTTTGCCATTCTAAGTTGTATAAAAAAAAACTTTAGAAGGCTGTAATGAATGTTTTTTTATGCAACTTAGAATGACAAACAAGTTGACCGCCCACCAGATGGAAAGTGGTAACCGTCGCCTATAGACATGAGCAGTAGCATGGACATAACGGAGTACATTGGTTCGCCCATGTAATGTTTGTCAATTTTATTATATAATTTTGTACGCTTCTGGCAGTATGAGGGAGCAACTAGTTAAACTTATGCTCTGGGTCACGCTGCTTGATGGAATCTGCATTTAAGATTTGCGGTAGAAGATATTAGGACTGACAAAACCCATCGGTTATGAGTTCTCATATCCCTTTCAGACCCAAGATTTTTTTTCTTTCAGATTAAATATAGTTTCGTGTTTTGGAGGCAAGCCATCTTGCCGGCACGCACGAGACTACTGCACCACCTAACCGCTAAAATGATTTCTTATTGGCTGGTTTAGAATCTCGCTATCATGTTATTTCCGCTTCGTGCGTAAAAATGAATTGCGCGCGGTTTTAGAATTTTTAAAGTTACAACTCACGCCCGTATCGATCAGGTCTGAAAGGGATATACCTGGACATTACCACATAGATCTGTGTCGGTCACTTTGATTCTTCTGTGGCTATCTTAATATCTTAATAAGTTAGGTTAAAGTAATTAGGTACATTATGTGGAAAAAAATGGGTAAAATGCTTAGGTACGAGTATATAACGTTTTCTCAAAGTGTATTTGTGGTTTTTCTAAATTTGCACTTTATTATTTTGCGCTGCTTTATGTCATTATATGATAAATACATATTATATTTTACTGTTTTTTTTTTTTTTTGTTTTTGTTATATATACTGTAATATGGTGGTATTACCAGAGGGAGACTTTGTACAAGTCGATTGCTTGACTACCTCTGTCCCATTCGTGTTTCAACCGCGAAGCAGCTGTGTTTGCATGGCTGTGTTTCTTTTACTGCTCATGTCTATAGGCGACGGTTACCACTTTCCATCAGGTGGGCCGTCAGCTTGTTTGCCATTCTAAGTTGTATAAAAAAAAAGGTTTATTAAATATCGTAATTTTTAAATTTTGTCACATTACCTTCTGTTATCAAGAAAATAAGTTATTGATCTATGACAATAGTGGAGTTATTATAAAAAAAAAAAAAACTATTTTTTTTTATAGAATTGCTGTCATGGGAATATTTCTTACAAAAAGTAGATTTAATTATATACATGCTGTTGGCTAAAGATGGCCTTTACAGCTTCACCGGGCGCGTGTAGACAACACAGTGTAAGGAGCTTAAAGTATATTTTACTTGAAGAAGTCTTAGGCTTAGGCAAGAACTTAGGCTACTAATACTTTTTACAGTGTTAACATTATTTGCTATATTAGTTACAGCCAAAGGTCGTTAACCTTGGACTGGAATTAATACCTACAGCAAAAACTAACAAGTGATAACGCTTCCTCATTCTACAAATTAAATTAATGTCCAGCTGATAGCGTGCTCGGGTAAAGTCAGTTTTAGTTTGTACTACAGCGTAGTCATATCATTTTTATAAAGCGTACAATCTGCGATTCGATTGTAAAATTTGGTTGTTTACAATACGTGGTTTTGCGATTAATGACGCACCATCTGATATTTATAAATGTTATTTCAATTAATGAGTTACACAACTTTGAGTTTAAAGAATAGAAGTTTAGAGAAAAGCTATTAATTCAGACAACTATTGTATAGGATTTTTTTTCTTTTTTATGCATCTTAGTAGTACGCATTACTAACAATCCCTTTCCTCCATTGAAACTGTTTAATAATATATCAATCACTAAACGCAAACTGTTAATTTAAATTTGTTTGTGTTTGTGATAGGTTAAGACCCGGCACTAGTATGCAGGTCAGTTGACCTATCTTGACGAATTCCATAAGAATTAGTCACGATGGTTTCCAGGAGCCGCGTGGAGGTTGACCTGATAAAGTACTCTATATTGGTAGCAATAAGATTGCTAGACACTAAAATTAATAATATATTTCGCTTAGAATCAGGCGTTGGGTCTGAAATGACCACTTTTGTAATAGGTGTGAACGACCAAAACAAATTATAATTGTATTAAAAATCAGACACGAACATTATAATAGTAGGTAAGATAGAAGGAAGGAGGGGAAGAGGAAGACCGAGAAATAGTTACATCAGGCAGATCAAGGAAGGAGTTGGTGTCGTGTCGTATCAAGAGGTGAAGAGACTGAAAATCGTAGTAAGTGGCAAGAGCTCCACCGATAAGAGCGCAGCTCTTAAATAGAGTAGATAGATAAAAATCAGAAGGAATTCTTGCGGAAAATCTTAAAAATAAATATAAATTAATTGTAAAATGAAAATAACATTACCATTTCGTTATTATTTATTATATATCTTAAGATACTCTTAAGAGACCTCCATTGTCACAAACGAAATCAGATCCTGTGATGCCCTTCGCTTTTTCACTTGCCAAATAAAGAATAATTTCACCAATTTCTTCGGGTTCAGAGCACCTCTGCAGTGGAAGACGGGACCCTAGAATGTCCCAGGATATCGCTGTTCCTGCATTGTCAAAGAAATCTGTCCTCACAGGGCCTGGACTAACGCTGTTCACTCGTACACCTGATGATGCCAATTCCAGAGCAGCGCCACGAGTGAAGTGATCTAAGCCAGCTTTAGAAATACTATACGGTAGAGCCAGCGCTGTGGTTGACATTTTTCCTGCAATGCTAGATATGTTCACAATATTGCCTTTAGTTTTCACAAGGTGAGGTGCAGCCACAGCGGTGAGGTGAACGACCGCACGCAGATTCACCGCCAAAGTACCATCGTACGATTTCAATATATCTCCATTCGAGATACTCCCAGAAACTGACAAGCCAGCGTTGTTTATAAGGACATCTATTTTGCCAAACCTATTGATGGTTTCGTCGACGATTCTCTTGACATCGTCATCATTTGTCATATCAGCCTTGACGAGGAGCGTCGTGCCACCATTTTGGGTGCATCGTTCGGCGATATTACTTAACCTGTTCTCATTTCTTCCAACTATGACAACATTGGCACCTTCTCTGGCGAACACTAAAGCTGCGGCCGCGCCAATGCCGGAACTTGCTCCTGTCACTATAACAACTTTGCCCGCAAAACTCATGATGCGTCCTATTATGTTTAATGATATTGAATAACTACCAAATATTCGGTTGCAAGAATATTTTATATTCAGTACATTTTTATTATAATGTACAGTTCAATACAGAAGTGTTTTATTATGTAGGCTGACCCTGACTCTTTTCGGCCCGCTGTTAAGTCTTTCTCCCTCTACGATAATATTAAAGGAAACTCTGGCGCGAGATAATTTCATTCTTTTGAAAACATTGGCGCGGATTTATTTATTTATTTCACACTTTATTGCACCAATATCAAGTAAATAAAAGATGAATCAGTGATAATGGTTCAGTGTACTCTGTTCATTGTGTATCCCAGATGAATTAATCCAGTTTTCTTTGTATCAGTCAAAGGTAGTATTAGAGTAAAGATATCTCGTCAGAAAACCTATTTATAAATAAAAATTAAATAATTTGTTATAGTTTTCATTATTTATAATTCCTCTAAGCATTTTAAGCATTCTATAAGCATCTAGCATCTACCATATAAGCATTAAGCAAGGCATAATTATTTTGTTAAATTTTTTCGAGCGAAATCTTTTATTAGTAACCAGTTTTTTTAAGCAATTGAAAAGAGGAAAATATGTTGACTGCCCATCTGATGGAATGTGGTAATCATCGCTATATATAATGAACATAAAAGAGTAAGTATACTTTGTCGCCCATGATACCCTTCATGCGTTGCCATGCCCTCTTGAATGGAAACGTATGACAGGTAAATAGCAGAGATAGGATCCAATACAAAAAAAAAATTGCTTTGTTTCTGACCTAAGGTATTTTTTTAATGGATGATAATAGATTGTAACCCCTCCTGCGCTAACGGGATACGCTGGCGGGGAATCAGTGAGTGATGATAGGTCAGGCTGAAAAGACAAGCCATTGTGAGGAATATACCTGGAATATAGCACAATGGTTTCTAGGGGGACCACATGGAGGTCGACCTGACAGGGTGTATTGTTGGCAATGGGTCAATTAGATCCCATTACTAACAATCCCTTTCCCCCCCAGTTAAATGTAATTAGGTATTAATAGGTATATTATATAAGCCATGTGCAAAGTAACACCGAAAAAGATGGCGTTGATATCGCTAACATAATATTTTTGTAGTCCGTTAAATTTTGTATGCGACTGTATGGATGATTCGAAAGTAGATATTATTCAAATCAGATTAAATGCCTTGATAATTTTTATCATTTATAATACGTTTTTTTTTATTGAATGATAACTGATGAATCTTTGCTATCGGCATAAGTAGGCGAGGCACCAGTGAGGGGTGATGAGTGAGGATGAGATCAGGTCAGTTAGCCCATCGTGATGAATTTAACAAGAATTGTTCACGATGGTTTCCAGGAGGAACCACGCGGAATTCAACTTAATAGGGCATATTGCTAGCAATGGGGTTGTCAAAGTCCATTGCTAGCAATCCCTTCCCCCCTCCCTTATCATACGTTTGTATGTATGATACATTTATACGGAAACTATAACAAAACAATTTGTGTCAAATAAATATGCTCACGATTACGATCCTTAATGGGGTAGTCTGAAGCATTTGTCCATATTTTGTCATGTCCATATTTCGTCGAGTGGCAATAGGCTGGTCACGTAGCTCGAAGAACCGACAACCGATGGGGAAGAAAGTTTCTTGAGTGGCGACCCCGTACGGGCAAACGCAGTGTAGGACGACTCACTACATGGAGTGACGATTTAAAATGCATAGCAGGAAGTCAGTAAATGCAGATGGCTCAGATCCGTTCCTTGTGGCAGTCTATGGGGGAGGCCTATGTCCAGCATTGGACAGATAAGGCTTGGAATGATAATGACAACATTTCATCGAGCATATCAGAATCTAAAATTATATATTATATTATATCTAAGATTATATATTATATTTATATCAGGGCGCGAGCTTGACGTCATCACTTAGATTGAATTGTTATCAGTATTTTCATTATCAAAGAGTTATCTATTTGGCAATTTAAACTGAAATACAGTTTTTGGTGTCGATCCGATTCGAACTTGACCATTACGATTTAAATCTTGAGGTATTTTTTTTAAATGGATGATAATGGGATGGTAACCCCGCCTGCGCTATCGGTATACGTTGACGGGGCACCAGTGAGGGATGATAGGTGAGGATGAACCAGGCCAGTTGGCCCTTCGTGACGGAATCTACTATAATTAACTACAATGGTTTCCAGGGGGAACCGCGTGGAGGTCGACCTGTGATGGTATATTGCTAGCAATGGGGCTGTTAGAACCCGTTACTAACAATCCCTTTCTCCCTGTCTCGGGGTACTGTAGTACTGCGGTATGGTGTTTTCACGTGTTTTTTATTACTTGTGTGATAGTTTTTAAGCGACTACCAATAAGAGCAGTTTCTTAATTCGTACCATCATCTCAGTCATTATCAGTCCACTGCTGAATACTCCTCCCACATTGACTTTTTTTAATGAATAATAATGAAATGATAACCCTATCCGACAGAGGGAGACTTTGTACAAAAGTCGATTGCTTGGGTACCTCTCTACCATTCGTGTTTCTACCGTGAAGCAGTTGTGTTTGCATGGCTGTGTTTCGGTTTGAAAGGTGCGATATGGCGTGAATTTACTAGGTACGGAGGAATAGCATCCGAGTCCTCAGGAATGACAACGCATGGAGGGTATCATGGGCGAAACAGTATACTCTGTTATGTCCATGGTACTGCTCATGTCTATAGGCGACGGTCACCACTTTCCATCAGGTGGGCCGTCAGCTTGTTCGGCATTTTTGGTACCATAAAGAATCTAAGAGTTATTAACTCTTTTTTTTTAATTCTAAAGATTTACAGATTAAATTGAGCAGCCCTGGATATTGGTGTTAAAACGTAGATAAAATAGACCAGTTCGTACTCGCTTGACCGAAACCTGTCAAGGATTTAAAAGTTTATAACAAACTCTTGTTTTATCTAGGACTCCTAAAGGTCTGTACTTATGACCTTGGTGGTACATCAGTTTAACATTCTGCCTCACTATCTGATAGTTGTACATTTGATTTCCATACAATATAAACATTTGTATGCATACTTTGTATTAGTCTAGGCTACTACGCTCAGACTAATACAAAGTATTAGATTTTTGCATATTTGTATTACATTTTTGCATGTTAACTGACGATAGATAGATAGATACTCTTTATTGTTTCCTCCAAAAGATTACAATAGTAAACTTATTACAAATATAAATAATTACAAGAAATAATCACAATGAGAAAACAATGGGCGACCTTATCGCTAAGAGCGATCTCTTCCAGGCAACCTTTGGACGATCATCTTCTTTATATTTATTATATGAAAAATTTTTTAAGTTACTCTTTTCGCAAACAATACTACTAATGCTAGCCGTATAAGGATATTATATGTTACTCAGCGAGTTATGCAGAGGGCAATACTCGAAGTTCCATCGCGTGATAGAATTTGGAACGTGGATATTCATAGAAGACTTAAAAAGATCGACATAGTTCCGAGAATCTGCAAACTGAAACGGTAATGGATCAGCTACATAGTTTGAGCAAGCGATAACTAATGAGGAAGAAAGGTTTATGAGTGGCGACTTCAGGCAGGTAAACATGGTGTGGAGTGAGCCTCCTGAGGACTAAGATTAACATTATTTCATAATGCAATTTCATAGTACTGATTATAATATACAATTTAAAATACATAAAGTAAAAATTTTACAATAAGTACACACATATGTTTTAAATAAAGCTATTGTTACCGCTGAACTGTTTTATTGCTGGAGACTACAAGTGTTTTTCTTTACTAATTTTATTATCTGCACGAAGTTCCACTAAATGCCGACAATCATGACAATTTATCGTCATTATATATGGGTAATCAATTTATGGAAGAGTACAATGTATTCTAATAACATCAATATCATCATTGCTTTGACTTTATCACTTTATTTGGAGTCAAAGTATTTTAATTAATAACAAACGATTAAAATATTTGGATACACTGATATATGATACAAATTCATCATGACACCGCATTTATGCTTTCAAAAGTCCACCATTATCACAAACGAAATCAGAACCCGTGATGCCCTTCGCCTTGTCACTTGCTAAATAAAGAATCATTTCGCCAATCTCTTCAGGTTCAGAATACCTTTTGAGTGCGACGCGAGAACCTAAAAATTCCCAGGATATGTTTGATAAGCCAGAGTTCTCTAAAATGTCCGTTCTCACAGGGCCTGGACTAATGCTGTTCACTCGCACACCTAATGATGCTAGCTCCAGAGCAGCGCCACGAGTGAAATGATCTAAACCAGCTTTAGAAGTGCAGTATGCTAGAGATAGCACTGGTGACGTCATCTTGCCTGCAATACTAGATATATTCACAATACTGCCTTTAGTTTTCACAAGGTGAGGTGCAACTAAAGTGGTAAGGTGAACGACCGCACGTAGATTCACTGCCATTGTTTTGTCGTACGATTCCAGTATATCTCCCTTCAAGATACTTCCAGTTAATGACAATCCAGCGTTGTTTACTAAGACGTCTATTTTCCTATATTTATTGATGGTTTCATCGACAATTCTCTTGACATCGTCGTCGTTTCCGACATCGGCTCTGACAACGAGCGGCGCGTGCCCGCCGCGGGCGCACTGCTCGGCGACATTTCGCAGCTTACTCTCATTTCTTCCAACCATCACCACGTGGGCTCCTTCTTTGGCGAACAGTTGTGCAGTGGCAGCTCCAATACCGGAACTGGCCCCCGTCACCAAAACGATTTTGTTTGAAAAACTCATGATACGTCTTATTATCTTTAAAAACTTTATATAACTAAGAAATATTATGTGAAATAAATTTATTTATGCCATTTATCAGTATTTGTGCTATTGTGTACAGTTAAATACAAAAGTGTTAATTCTTAACAAGTAGATAATATTCCAAATGAAGGAATTTGTTTCTATAATTTTTTGTGTGTTAATCAAATATTACACAGATTCGCAAAATGTCACTGATTGCCTTTTTTCTGGATCTTTTTAATGCTTTCCGCTTAGTTTCATATAATATGCTTTAGAGAAAGATGGTAGACATTTTGGCAGGCTAGAATTTAGTTATAAAACTACGTAATTCTGAGTGCGATGGTGGTAAACACTAGCATCGTGCCCTCCGATGTGGCAAACATTGAAATGAAATTATATTTATTTGCTGTGAACGTGGAACATAATGGAATGGAATAAAAGTAAATAAGTAAATTGCACATTTAGCATTTTTATACATAATTCATAATAAATCTTATGTATTATTTAGTATTTATTAATTCATCAACGGTTCAGCATGTTTCTAAAATTTTATACATTGCAATAGGTGCATTAATTAATTAATAATTCGACAATGTCAATAACATATTACGTCCATTTAATATTTAAAATAATCCATAATGGAATAAAAACATTTATTAGTCAGCCATTTGAATTATTTGCCCCTAAAACCATTTTAAACAACGATCAGTAACCGTATTAGGTAGTTTGTTATAAATTTTTAAGCACTATGAATAACTGTAATACGCGTGTTTTCATTTTTAGTAAAACAAGTTTTTCAGGACGTCTTACAGAAAACGTTATATATGTCGTTGTTTTTTTTTTATAAACAGGTATGAATGTACTTTTGCAAACAGACCGCACTCGAATATGTACATTAATTGGATTGTTAATAGTTTCAGCTGTCGATACAGTAATGCACAAGGTGTCATTGGCTGTTTATTATATATGTCACGAAACAACTGTTTGAGATATGAAATGCTTTATTGGTATCTACTAAATTACTCCACAGTAGTATTCCATATTCAAAATTCGATGCAACATGTCCGTGATAATTTTTGAATTGATATCATTTTTAAATTATATCAATTTAAATTTAGAAATTTTGACTACAATTTAACCTTGGGTTGTCATTGAGTCTAACAATGGGGGGGGGGGAGGGATTGTTAGTAATGGGAAGGTTAGTTCTCATTGCTGTTAATATACTCTATTAGGTCGATCTCCATGCAGTTCCACCTGGAAACTGTCGTGACTAATATATGATTGAATTCATGATGGGCTAATTGATTTGCCTCTTCATCCCTACTAATCATCCCTCACTGGTGCCCTGCCAGTGTATACTGAAAACGCGAGCAGGGTTACCATGTACAAAAGTCGATTGCTTGGGTACCTCTGTCCTATTCGTGTTTCTACCGTGAAGCAGTTGTGTTTGCATGGCTGTGTTTCGGTTGGAAGCGTGGGATATGGCGTGAATTTACTGGGTACGGAGGAATAACAACTGAGTCCTCAGGAATGGCAACGCATGGGGGGGGGGTATCATGGGCGAAACAGTATACTCTGTTATGTCCATGGTACTGCTCATGTCTATAGGCGACGGTTACCACTTTCCATCAGGTGGACCGTCAGCTTGTTTGCCATTCTAAGTTGTATAAAGAAAAAAAAAATACTTTTAATATTATCTTTTAGACTATTGACTTTTCTATGTAACTGTCTGGTTGACGCATATATTTATACGTGATAAACAAATGATATAATAACTCCAGTTATCAACAAGTGGTCAGTTTTGGTAAAATTCGGACTCTTGTAAAATTGTGTTTTTCATAAACATTTAAAATGGCCATTACTTTGTCTGTATACACTATGTGTTAAGTGGGTTATATGCTAAGTGGTTGACATAATACTGTCTTATTACTAGTCGTATAAAATCGTTTTCAAAGGTAATTGTTGGTCATAGTACACCTTGGAATTTATGTCATGTCATCGTCGTGAGATCAGGTGCAATTGTAACTATAGTGAAGACTTCAATTTGTATAAATTTAAAATTGTTCAAATAAATCAGGAATGTATAGAGGAAGACAGAGTCACAGTTGAGCTTCTGAAAGAAATGGAAAGAAAGAAATAGTACATTACTGCAGCGGCCAGCAATTGAGGCATTGATGGACGAGTCCATCAATGCACAACCATGCACAAACATCATACACAACCGGGGTACCAGTGAAGGATGATAAGTGAGGACAAAGCAGGTCAGTTAGTCCATCGTGACGAATTCAACAAGAATTGTTCACGATGATTTCCAGGGGGAACCACGTGGAGGTTGACCTAATAGGGCCTATTGCTAGCAATGGGGCTGTTAAACTCCATTGCTAACAATCCCTTTCCCCCCTCTAGTGGGGAGTCGTACTACACGTACGTTTTGAAGTACAGGTACGATCTAAGGTAAGGTGGGGTGACGACCTCAAATGCATTGCAGGGAGTCAGTGGATGCAGGTGGCTTAGGACCGTTCTTTATGGCAGTCTATGGGGAAGGCTTATGTCCAGCAGTGGACGGATAATGGCTGGGATGATGATGAAAAAAACGTAAACAGAAAATTCTTTGTCGTCTTTTTTTATACAACTTAGAATGGCAAACAAGCTGACGGCCCACCTGATGGAAAGTGGTAACCGTCGCCTATAGACATGAGCAGTACCATGTACATAACAGAGTATACTGTTTCGCCCATGATACCCCCCATGCGTTGCCATTCTTGAGGACTCAGGTGCTATTCCTCTGTACCCAGTAAATCCACGCCATATCTCACCCTTCACACCGAAACACAGCCATGCAAACACAACTGCTTCACGGTTGAAACACGTATGGGACAGAGGTATCCAAGCAATCGACTTTTGTACAGTGTCCCTCTGGTGTAGAGTATCTTGCGAAGAGTTTTATTACAAGTATGTAAAAAAAGCAACTTCATGTCTAAACATACGTAAAAAAAAAATATAAATAAACAAAATAATTCTTATCAACTAACCAGTGATATGGACTTCTGTTAACTAATATTTTGTAGTCCCTAGAGAAACACCTTTAACATTTGAAGACAAATAAACATTTTTTTTATTATTAATATTTAGGTAGGTATACAGTACAAATTATTAGATAAGACACAGACATAGGGATTTGAGACACTTATCAACATAATTATGTGACATATTTTTTTTTTATTATTGTCTGGGTTATTATTTTAAAAGTATGCCTTACTTAACTAATCTTTACCAATACGACTAGCTGATGCCCGCGACTTTGTCGTCGTCGTATTTGTTATTCCTTCGATTATTGTTTTTAACCTGCTTATTGTAGTAAACTCGATGAAGTAATTGAAATATGAATACCAAATATATATTTGTTTTTTAATTATGATTAGGGAGTCAGTTTATGCAGGTGGCTCAGGACTGTTCCTTATGTCACTACTTCACCTTACGGGGAAGGCCTATGTCCAGCAGTGGACGGATAATGGCTGAAATGATGATGATGATGATTTCAATTACGTATTTTAATAACAAATAAATAAAATACTGTCCAGTCCTGTCATTATTTTAGTTAGATAGATAGATAGATAACCTTTATTACCAGTATTAAAAAAATAAAAAATTAAAACAAAAAAAAGAAAAAAATAACAATTAATGTTGCTGGTAATAGGAGCCGCCTCAGCTGTCGCTATATATGTACAGCTCCAGCGAGATGTACCTATATAGCGCTGATTTTCAGGCGGCCCCTTAATTTTAAAGTATATAACACCGAACATGGCCATAGCTTGGTAGGAGGGGAGGTTGGCATTGAGGAGCAATGCCATACCTTAAAATAAAAGGCCCTAAGAAAATCAGACAAAATTTGTCTTTTTCGAAGTTACTTAAATATGGCTTTTGCCCTACCAAAAAGTTCTTTTGCCCTACCTTAAACTTGGATCTAGCTACGGCCCTGACTTTGAGTTTATGGTTTACATTAAATAAACTAAATGGACATTTGTCCGAAATGAATGTCCTGTCTAAATTACTTCCTACATTTTTTAAGTATACAAACTGCTACGTGTTGAATGAAATTGTATAACATATTATGTTAATAATGACAGGTTGAAGCAGAAAAACATGTTTTGTCCAGTAGAGCAAATCACCACCAACCAGAGCAAGTACCACAAAGAGTACACACTGAGTTATGGCCTCATTGTGATACTGCACCACATATATTTATAGTATAACATATTTAGCTGTAATTTTTTTTTAATATAAATTATTTTGTGTGTGTGTGTATGTGTGTAATTGGAGTTTACAAATAATCGTTTGTTTATTGAAACTATCGAGACATAGCGCAATGATTTTTTAATCGCGCTTACTAAATATAGATACTGATAAAGGAAAAATTTGCAGTCTTTTTTAATAAATGATAATAAAATAGTAACCCCGTCTGAGCTATCGGTATAAACTGTCGGGGCATCAGTGAGGAACAATAGATCCTCACCGGTACTAACAGGTAGTTTTTTTTAATGGGTGATAATGGAATAGTAACCCCATCCGCGCTATTGGTATACACCGGCGGGGCACCAGTGAGGGATGATAGATGAGGACGAAGTAGGTCAGTTAGCCCATCGTGACGAATTCAACAATAATTGTTCACGATGGTTTCCAGGGGGAACCACGCGGAGGTCGACCTGATAGGGCATATTGCTAGCAATGTCGAACTCCATTGCTAACAATCCCTTTGCCCTCACTAACAGGTAGTTAGGTCAGTTGGCCCATCGCGATGGGCCAACTTTATAATTATATAACAAAATTAAGTCAAATTCATCGCGATGAATTGAAGACTTATGTCCAGCAGTGGGCGAATAATGGCTGAAATGATGATGATGATGATGTTGATGATGACATAAAATAATCACTTTGGTTGTATTAATAGTATTATATTGCACAGTTCCGTTCACTTACACGTTCCGAACACGACTGCCTTTTCCAAAAGGGTGTCGCCATTTTTATTTTCATTGATACTACCACCGAGTCGTTGAGTGACTAGTACTTATTTTATATATCCAATAATTATTAATAAAATAAATTGTTAATATTTAAAAAGGTATATAAAATTATTAAATATAAATTGCAAGCGTTTTTGAGTAGTCTTTTTTTATGACTCTACCGTAATTCAACATTTGACTGTGTCATAGTGACTAACAACAATTAACAGGAAAAAAAATTAAGATAAAAAATGTCACGTCACGTTCTGTATAACAAATACTTTGATTATTTAAAAAAATACATATGAAAGACTAGTTGCATGCTACGGCGTTACCGCGTGAAATAGTGTAAATAAATTTATTTACAAATATATATATGAAATACTGCCGTGTAGGTAGGTAATATTAATCACGAAAAAGTATTCCAATTTGGACATATTTTCTCATATCTTTTATTCGCGTATGGGGTCAGCTAAGCTGTTGCATGTTGATTCCAATGATCTTCAGTTCTTTCCCCTGCCTTATACCATCATTTTAGAGATCCTATGTGTACAATTTTGACATAAATGTAGTGTAGTTTCATATCTTTTACTATCATCACTACCATAGGCTACATATAAAGAACTCCCTATACTGAATACAAATCGACCATGGGAGTCAGTTTCCGTGTGGTCCCGGCATAGAATAGGCCACCCCTTTCTTTCCCGTGAGTGTCGTAATAGGCAATTAAGGGAGCTTATAGTGGAGGAATAGGTAGCAGCGTTCCTCTTAAAACATCATCAGAAGTCATTTTGCTGTTGCTAACCCGCCTGTCAAGTATGGCAAGTATTGGCAAACCGCCCCTTATGGGCGAAGCTATGTTAAACAGTGGAGAGTTACAGTTAACATATACGTTTATTATATATATATATATATATATATATATATATATATATATATATATATATATATATATATATATATATATATATATATATATATATATATATATATACGTTTATTACTCTTTCACTCAAAAACTACTGACCGAGTTTGAATAAAGTTTGGTACACGCATGGGTTTTTTTTAAGGTTTGCGGTACAGTGTTTAAGGCATCCCGTTCTCGCTATTGGATACGGGTGACGGAATGCCTGACCTTACATGGTGGGCGGAATTCAGACGCAATATTTGAGGAAGGGAGCATTAGAAAATTAACTGAACAGCCGGATACTGCAAGAAAAGAGTTTGTGATTGGCCTCCGAACTGGCGAACTCTGCTGTCCACCGGTCCCCATTTCGAGGGACGGCCGATCACCGGCCGTAAGAGTGGATGGGTTATGTCCTTACTTAGCACACAGGATACGTTACAAACTTTGATGTGTGGTATAAAAAAATAACAAATCTATATATGTAAGTATATTTATTGGAGAATAAAATAACAGAATAAAATTATTAAGCGGGTATATATTGCAAGAGACCTCCGTTATCAGAAACGAAATCGGATCCCGTGATGCCTTTTGCCTTATCACTTGCTAAATATAGAATTAATTCAGCAATCTCTTCGGGTTCGGAGCATCTCTTAAGAGGAAAAGCATTACTCATAATATCCCAGGTTACCTCTGACATGCCTGTATTCTCTATAAAATCTGTTTTTACTGGGCCCGGACTGATGCCGTTCACTCTTACACCTGAAGATGCCAACTCCAGAGCAGCACCACGAGTGAAATGGTCCAATGCGGCTTTAGAAACACTATACGGTAAATATTCTGCCTTCAGCACCATCTTTCCCGCTATACTAGATATGTTCACAATATTACCTTTAGTTTTAACAAGGTAAGGTGCAGCTAAAGCGGTAAGGTGAACGACCGCACGCAGATTCACTGCCATGGTTTCGTCGTATGCTTTTAATATATTCCCGCTTAGAACACCACCGTAAATAGCCATTCCAGCGTTATTAACCAAGACGTCAATCTTTCCAAACTTATTGACAGTTTCATCGACAATTCTCTTGATATCGTCATCATTAGCAAGATCGGCCCTGATGACGAGCGGCGCTTGTCCGCCGCGGGCGCACTGCTCGGCGACCTTGGTCAACTTGCTCTGGTTCCTGCCGACCATCACCACGCGGGCGCCTTCTGTGGCGAACAGTACTGCAGCAGCCGCGCCGATGCCAGAACTGGCGCCAGTCACTATAACTACTTTATTTGCAAAACTCATGATACGTCTACTTATCTCCAATGGTAGTAACAAGTAACGATAATTAGAAATGTGCATGTATTTATATTAAAATGTGTACATAGAAACACAAAAGTGTTTTAAATAAAATTATGTTGATTTATCGATGCTTTTTACAAATCTGTCCTGGTAATCAAGTCTAGGTATAAGATTATTTTTATCTCGACTCAAAAATATTCAAGTTATATAATTAAATTTGATTTTACGATTAAATTTGTTGTTTTTTTGTAGAATTATAATCATACATCATACTTATATCAATGATAATATTGAAGGATAAGTCTTATTAGTCTACATTTTAAACAAAACTAAAATTATAATAATTGTTATTAGTTGTTTGATGAATTTATTTTTATCCATTTAATATATTCGAAAAGGTATCCATTTTCGAATATAAGCATTTGACTATAGTTGCTAGATCAAGGAAACAACTTTACAAATGTAATGTTTTTATTGCGGCACATTAAATTGTAAAAGACTGCCATTATCAGAAACAAAATCCGATCCAGTGATGCCTTTTGCCTTATCGCTTGCTAAATATAGTATAATTTCAGCAATTTCTTCAGGTTCAGAGCATCTCTTAAGTGGAACATATGTACCCACATTATCCCAGGAGACTCCTGATAAGCCTGCATTTTCCAAGAAATCTGTTCTGACTGGACCTGGACTAACTGCATTCACTCTTACACCTGAAGCTGCTAACTCTAAAGCAGCACCACGAGTGAAATGATCTAACGCAGCTTTAGAAACACTATAAGATATATTATTCTTCGTTTTTGGTGTCATTTTTCCTACTATACTAGATATGTTCACAATATTGCCTTTAGTTTTGACAAGGTGAGGGGCAACTAAAGTGGTAAGATGAACAACTGCACGCATGTTCACTGCCATTGTTTCATCGTATGCTTTTAATATATTCCCACCTTTTTTCATGATACCACTGTAAACACCCATTCCAGCGTTGTTAACCAAGACGTCAATCTTTCCAAACTTATTGATAGTTTCATCGACAATTCTCTTGACATCGTCATCATTAGCGACATCAGCCCTGATGACGAGCGGCGCATGTCCGCCGCGGGCGCACTGCTCGACGACCTTGCTCAGCTTGCTCTCATTTCTGCCCACCATCACCACGCGAGCGCCTTCTTTAGCAAACAGTACCGCAGTAGCAGCTCCAATGCCGGAACTCGCGCCAGTCACTATGACCACTTTGTTGTTAAAACTCATGGTACGTTTACTTATCTTGAAAAATATTTAACCACTGACAATAATCTAGCAATACGGAGATATTTATATCAAATATGAGTATATAAGAATACAAAAGTGTTTTACGTACATGTTGATACTGTGAACTACTGTACAATGTAATTAATGGAAAGTCCATAATATTATTTGACGTTAGTCAATCATTTTTATATTTTGTTATATATTACACAAGTATTATTAATATTAGCGTAAGAGGCGACTAAGGAAATGTAATGGTCAAAGAATGGGCAGCAGCATCCCTCTTGAAACATCACCAATAGTCAAACTGCGGATACCAACTAACCTACCAAGCGTGGCAGCTACTGGCAAAATCCCCTCAATGGTAAATCGCCATATGGCCCCGTTTCCTATGCCAGTTTATGGGGGAGGTCTACGTTCAGCGGTGAATAGATAACGGCTGATATGATGATGATGACGATGATTATTTTAATTGTAAGTTACTAGTCCTCACGACCACACTAGAACCTGTACTGGAACTAAAGGCTACAAAAAAGTAATATTGGTTTTGGACCATGATTATTTTTATAAGACTTACTTAATTACAGTAAATTAATATACTTGGGGATATATATATATATATATATATATATATATATATATATATATATATATATATATATATATATATATATATATATATATATATATATATATATATATATATATATATATATATATATACAATATATATATATATACAACTTAGAATAGCAAACAAGCTGACGGCCCACCTGATGGAAAGTGGTAACCGTCGCCTATAGACATGTGCAGTACCGTGGACAAAACAGAGTATATTGTTTCTCCCATGATACCCCCCATGCGTTCCATTCCTGAGGACTCAGGTGTTATTCCTCTGTACCCTGTAAATTCACTGCCATATTCCACCCTTTCGAACTGATACACAGCCATGCAAACACAACTGCTTCACGGTTGAAACACGAATAGGACAGAGGTACCCAAGCAAATGACTTTTGTACAAAGTCTCCCTCTAGTAAAAAAAAAATTATAACCACTATGTACCCATTTCTGGAATAGTGCATATGGATAGAACTTTTTACTGTTCCACTATTGTCAGTGTTCTTTGCTATAAATTGATATAAAGTTATATAATATCGTTTTAACTGAACTGGAAATCAGTGTAAACAAATAAGAAATATCCTTGTCATCATGATGACACTGTTTTATCTACTGATGATTGATTATAATGATAAATACTATATGTAACTGCTAAATTACAAAGTTGCTGTCTTTAATTCTAAAAATACGTTTACAACTATAACCTGTATTGTGGTAGTTAGATGTATTTATTACTTGATGCCAATATTGTGAATGCAACATGCGAATACATTTTAAATAATGATACTATAAATGTTATTTACTTAGGTATTCTTCAGGCAGATTTACTTGCAGTATTTTATTACGTAAATAAGCATTGAAGCTGACTACAATTAGTGGAATAATGAAATGACTTCATAATTATAGTTTATTTATTCAGGAAAACTGTATTTTAATATTCCCCCATTATCAAAAACAAAATCAGATCCTGTGACGCCTTTTGCCTTGTCACTCGCCAAATATAGAATAAGTTCAGCAATTTCTTCCGATTCCGAGCATCTTTTAAGTGGAAACAGGATACCCAAATTGTCCCAGGACACGTCCGTCACACCTGCATTCTCTAAAATATCTGTTTTTACTGGACCCGGACTAACGCCATTCAGTGGTGGTTACTATGAGGGTTATTATGGGTGAAACAGTATACTCTGTTATGGCCATGGTACTGCTCATGTCTATAGGCGACGGTCACCACTTTCTATCAGGTGGGCCGTCAGCTTATTTGCCATTCTAAGTTTATAAAAAAAAAATCCTTGCTGTGATGTATAAAAAAATCTCACCTGGACCAAAACTCCTCTGAAACAGCACCATTTAGGTTTTAGCTTTGGAGTTAGTCGATGAATTTACTCCCAAAGTTTTTAGTGACGGCTAGGTTCAAACCTAGATCCTTGTGGTTTATATATCAGGGTAACATACCACTCAGCAACTATGTTCTATTACCGTTTCTATAGTTCCTAAGAGATTATAATATCCGCTAACTCTGGGTTGTTTTTTTTATACCATTGAGGTGGCAAACAAGCATACGGCACATCCAATGGTAAGCGGTTACCGTAGCCTATGAACGCCTGCAATAGCAGAGGTATTACGCGCGCGTTGCCAACCCTAAAGAAACCTCTTCACCCCCCTTTTGAAGAACCCTATGCTGTAGTTTACAGTAGTTGCAGTTCCACAGCAAAATGTTTTTATTGTACGTAGCTATAATTCTATTACTGTAATTGTATTTTTTGTTTATTATGGATTTATGTTTCTAAATTGAATAAATAAAATATAAATATTGCTCCTGTAGGTAATTGTAAAGATATATAGTATCTTACAACTCTTCCTTTCCCGTCGGTGTCGTAAAAGGCGACTAAGGGAAGCGAGGGATGGGCAGTAGCGTCTCTCTTAAAACATCACCGAAATTTAATTGCGGTTGCCAACCTGCTAAGCATGCAAATACTGGCAAAAACCCCCTTACGGGGGAAGTCTATGTTCAGCAGTGGACATGATGATGATGATGATAGTATCTTACGAGTATAAGAGTTGTTTGTAAATGGTTAATTATTACCTTAGTTTATAAGTAATAAGATTCCCTTTGTGGCACAATATTTTTTATACCACATTATGCTTATAGTCACCACATATTATTTACTATATAATATAATACATTGTTGTTTTATTTACAAAATGTTATTATTTGTTAATATAAATAAATAATAGCTTAAAATAAAATAGTTATATGATTTTAATTTGTTTATTGTGAAACATTACAGTATAAACCGATTGTTGCATAATATTTTTTTTTACATTTATTGTAGTCACTATATGTTATTTATTAAATTGCATTTTATTTATTTAAAAATATTAGTATATGTTAATGTAAATAAGCACTTTATTACAGTTAAATTATTGGATGAATAAAATAATTTAATAATTTTAATTTGTTTATTGTAAAACATTACAGTGTAACCCAATTGTTGCACAATATTTTTTTTTTACATTTATTGTAGTCACTACATGTTATTTATGAAATTGTTGTTTTATTTATTTAAAAATATTAGTATATGTTAATGTAAATAAGCACATTATTACAGTTACATTATTTGATGAATAAAACAGTTCAATCATTATAATTAGTTTATTGGGAATAATTACATTGTAATTAATTGTAATCTGATTGTTGCACAACATTGTTTCTTACATTTATTCTAGTCACAACATATTACTTACTAAATAATATACTATATTGTTTTTTATGAATTTAGACAACATTAGGATATGGTAATATAAATAAAGCACTTTGTTATAATTAAATTATTGAATGAATAAAATTGTTTTACAATTTTAATTTATTTATTGTGAAATATTACATTGTAACCCAATTTTTCCTGCGGTGTTAGCCTTTTCTTGTATGATGTGTTATGATTTATTCGTCTAGTTGTCTCTTACAATTACATCCTGTGTATTAGGGAAGTGGTGACTTATTTTGTTGATAGCACAATTCAGGCGTAAGTCAGACAAGATATAATTAATAAGATATTAAAATTATAAATGCGAAAGTTTGTAACAATGAATGGATGATTGTTACTTCTTCATGCAAAACTACTGAATGCATTTGAATGAAATGTTGTACATGGGCAGGCTATATTTTAACTTTGCTGTGGGATATAGATTGTATTAAATTAAATTGAAACAAAAAGTCACAGTAAATGTTATTTATTGAATTAATTACTGTAATAAGTGCTTAGAAAACCCTAATATACAAGCACCCGTTAATAATTACATGAATATATACATAATTTTAGTTTACTTTGGTTGCAATTTGAATTGTAACAGGCCACCATTGTCGGAAACAAAATCGGATCCCGTGATACCTTTTGCCTTGTCACTTGCCAAATATAGAATTAATTCAGCAATCTCTTCAGGTTGAGAACACCTATTAAGTGGCACGGAGGCACCCATGGTGTCAAATGATAGTCCTAACTTGCCGACTTCATTATTGTCGAAAAAATCTGTCACCACCGGTCCTGGACTGATTCCGTTCACTCTTACACCTGAAGATGCCAACTCCAGAGCAGCACCACGAGTGAAATGATCCAATGCGGCTTTCGAAATATTATAAGGTATAAATGTTTCAAAAGGCGGCATCTTTCCCGCTATACTGGATATGTTTACAATATTACCTTTAGTTTTAACAAGGTGAGGTGCAGCTAAAGCGGTAAGGTGAACGACCGCACGTAGATTCACTGCCATGGTTTCGTCGTATGCTTTTAATATATCACCACTTAAAATACTGCTAAATACACTTAATCCAGCGTTGTTGACCAAGACGTCAATCTTTCCAAACTTATTGATAGTTTCATCGACAATTCTCTTGACATCGTTATCATTAGCGACATCAGCTCTGATGACGAGCGGTGCTTGTCCGCCGCGGGCGCACTGTTCGGCGACCTTGCTCAGCTTGCTCTGGTTCCTGCCCACCATTACCACGCGGGCGCCTTCTCTGGCGAACAGCACCGCAGCGGCCGCGCCGATGCCAGAACTGGCGCCAGTCACTATAACCACTTTGTCTGCGAAGCTCATGATTGTTCAGGTTGTATTGAATAACTGGCAATTATTTGATTACACCGCTATATTTATACCATGATGCGTAATTGCGTCGTTAAGTATAGTCAAATGCAAAAGTTTTTGTTTTTTTACTATTGCAGCGTGAAATTATTTTATTTTTACCTGTATTTATACTTGTTCATTCGCCTTTCAATGTTTAATTTGATATCTTAACTGCATAAATGGTATTACATTCGTGGATTATAAGTATTTAATGGCAAAATTCTTGTCGGAGTTCTTGTCTGTCTTCTCACTTTACTGGGGATCTCTTTACTTCATGTGCCATTAATCTGCTAATGTAAGTATGCGTTTGTCATGAGGAGGTTGGGGCCAATCGCCCCAATACCAGTGATATATTCATTGGGTTGATTTCGCGTTTGTTCCCTTTTGGAAACCATTGTGTTTAATTTTAATGAATTCATTCTCATCTATCATCATTCAAAGGTACCGATAACGCATGCGGGGTTACCATTCTATTTTTATTTAATTAAAGAACTATATTTTAGTATTTCTTTTCCTGTCTTTCTTTCATATTTCTTTCATTAATAGTGTTCATAAGTTCATCGTGTCATATGAAGTATCCTAACAGTATCTGCACTATTTTGTTTTAAGGCACCTGTTTATAAATATGCTGGTTCTTTTTATTTATGTCCTTATTAATTATAAATGAAAATACTGTCCGTTGACGTGATGTATTATATTTTTGTTACAATTCATTTATTATTCATTTTTTCTATAAAAAAACTATAATTGTCATTATATAGAAGGGTTCATTTTGAACAACACCCAATGTTCTTACATATAAAACAACGAAACACTTTTGTATGCATCTGTATAGGAGTCGAACATTACAATGATTGGACAATATTACACAAACGTATTTGTTGTAAAAAAAAATCAAAAAGAATAATTTTATCGGTAGATAAACGATTTTGGATTGTTCAGGCTATTTGTCGCTGATTTACCTTCAGTCTGATAGATTAAAACAGAAATGGAATACAAATTTATTTATTTCAATGTTATTTTTGTTTCTTAACATTTGCATGCACTTAATATGGGCCGATGAATGTGGAGGAAGCGAAAGAGGTTTGTTTAAATCGAAGCATTTGGCGTTCCATTGTTTCTGCCTACCCTACAGGCGTGACAGATATCTATGTATGTATGTAATATGGGCCTAGTTGCCTGAATCAAATAAATATTCTTTCTTATAAACTTTTAGAGTGACTTGCATGCATTCTTTTGGGATTTTATTTTGTCATACAAACAATAAATGTCTATTTTTTTTATTTATACTTCTACTAATGTTATAAAGAGGAAAGATTTGATGATTTATTTGTAATGAATGAACTGAATTGAATCTGTTTTAAAAATTCTTTCATGAACGTTGGAAAGTTGTTTTTCATCTGAAAGAGCGAGTAGATAGAAAGATAAATTAGTAGTTACTTTGTGTTAGCTTTTCCATACGTATCGTAAGAGGTAATTAAGGGAACGTAATGGTCAAAGAATTAACAGCAGCGCCCTCTTAAAACATCACCGAAAGCCTAATTGCGGTTGCAAAATCCAAACTCTGAAGTTGAAATCCGATCGAAGGGATCCTCGGGGATTTCGAATTGTGTTATCTGTCATTGTTACTTATGTTATCTATTTCAGTCGTGAACTGCTGATAACAACTTATATTATCAGTGGACAGTTAATCATTGATAAGATGATGACGATGATTAGCTTCAATTTGGCTTATTTTTGATCGGGTTACAACATTATATTTTTTGTAGTTATCTATATTTAAAGATATATTTAAAGAAGTAATATGCAACTTGTTATATTCACCGATATCGTATTTCTCTGTAGGTTCAAGTTTGTTTGTGATTGCAATGGAAAGTTAAATAAAGAGATTTTTTTTTAATAGATTGTTTTTTTTAATTTTTTTATTTTAATGGTCACGTTTTTATTACATTGGAAAATTACAGTTTTTAGCGGAACTATAGACAAGTGACATAGACAGCAGAGTCGTAGTGTTGCAATCACGATAGTCGTAATAAAAAAATATCTGTTGCTATTCCAACAATAGGTGAAAGAATAGTTAAAATCGGTTGAGTAGTTTTTGAGTTTATCCATTAAAAACAAACAATCAAATCTTTCCTCTTCATAATATTAAACAGACTGAAAAACAGTCGATTACGAGTATGTAGTTTCCGATGTTTCGACTACATATGTTATTATTTTAGGTATATATGTATAAGGTGTTACCAAATTATCTGCATTCCCTGCTACAGAGCATAGTATTAGATATATATATTACGTTAAAAAAAGAATTTCATGTCAAAGTACGAGTAGTATGCAATTATTAAAAAAAAGAAAGATAAAATACTTAAATTTCTTCAATGCTTGTAAAACGTCCTCATAACTATACTTTTCTCTATCACATTGTGCTCGCGCTGACTCCGTCAGTATTAGCGTAACGTTGCAACAGCGTGTCACAAAGCAAACATCAGCTGTTTACTAAAACCACTGATATTCTGTTATTAAAAATCGTAATTTACTTACCAATGTGAATTTATTTAGTCACTTAAAAAGGCGATGACCTCCTCATTACACTTCAAGCAGGCTTTGGACTGTCAAATTATTGTAACATCTTTACGCGCCTGTTTATTTAGTTACCTTAAAAAAATACGACTATTTCAGCTATTTATTTATTAAAAAAGAGGTGGTGGTAACTGCAGTGTATTACAATAACTTGGCGTGTTTAAAAGTTATATTTATACCAATGGAATTATAACTGGCCAGCGGACCATGACTGGCAAACTTGTTACCTCACCCCCTCTATCTCGAACTGTTTGTTTCTCAAATTTTATTAAAAATGGTACAGTGTATAAAACGATGCTTACGACTAGTGGTACCCTACCACTAGCACATTTACAATGAGCATTTAGCGTACGTTTTGGGCGCTGCGCGGCGAGCGATTTGCGAATATTCGCCGATTATTTCGATTCGCGGCTTTTATATGGCCGCGCTCCCTTTACCCCTCATATAAATATCAGCCAGGGAGCAGCGCGGCGTCATTATAGAGGTGGAATCCGTACAGTGCACATTGCAAAGTTTTTCTGTCTATTTATATAAATCTGTTGTATGCCTATGGTTTATTACGTCTATAAACACTATTTAGCAATCTATTATCAGCTATTACCCAATTATGACCTAATTTCGAATAAAAACTATATTACTCTTTTATATGAAATTTATTCTATCAGAGTGTTATTTTCTGAGTTGTTTACTATCCTATTAATACAGAAATCACTATAAAACTCTTTCTATTATCCTCCCTACCTATTTCTATTAAATTTAGGGTATTAATAAAATATAGGACCAAATCTTTATTTCTTAAATTTAAAACTATTTACATTGATTTCTATACTATGATTCTATACAATTCTATGCAGGCTATCTGTTAAAAATATTTTTTCTACTGTACGATAATATTAAACTATTTAAATTTTCAATACAAAATGGATCGAAATTATGAAATAAGGATTTGTGCCATTAGTAGCAGAGTTCTTTTTTAATAGTTGATAATGGAATGGTAACCCTGCCTGTCGGTATACGCTGGCGAGGCACCAGTGAGGGATGATAGGTGAGAATGAAGGTAGGTCAGTTAGCTCATCGTGATAAATTCCACAAGAATTAACCACAATGGTTTCCAGCAGGAACTGTGTGAAGGTCGACCTGATAGGGTCGTTTAATAATAATATTTTACGACGACTTATAATAATAATAAATATAAATAAGTAACCCGATGGTTGTACAATATTTTTATTACATTTATTATGGTCACTACATGTATTTACTTAATAATGTACTATATTGTTTTTTTTTATTATTAATTTAGTATGTGGTCATATAAATAAGCAATTTATTACAATAAAATTATTGGATGAATAAAATAGTTACGTAATATTAATTTTAATTTCCCGCGGCAAAGTTGGAATACAAGTTCTAACTTTGCCATGGGATATAGCTAGTATTAAATAAAATTTAAACAAAAAATCTTACAATAAATGTTATTGATTAAATTAATTACATTAAGAAATGTTTAGAAAACTTTAATACCTCTTAAACCTGAAGCCAGTATCAGTAACATTACTGATGCAATTTGTATCATAAACGAAGATCTCTCCCGTATATTCGACTGGAGCAAAGCAAACGGCCTCACTGTAAATCCGTCTAAACCACAATGCATTATTATTGGTAGTCCTCACTACATATCTAAATTAAACTCATTTAATCTCCCATCGGTTATTTTTAATGGTCATTTAAAAATCTTGAAGTACATTTCGAACAAGCACTGGCCTGGTCACATCAAATATCTCAGTTAAGTTGTAAAATATTTACGTCTATAGGTAGTCCCAATCGTCTGTAAAATTTTCTACCAATCAGTACCAAAACTGTATGACTAGATGACGCCGATTCTTGTTATGTTAATATTACAGAAGATCAATTAAATAAACTTGAACAACTTCAAAATATTTATATACGGTTTATATTTAATCTTCGCAAATATGACCACATCTCTGATTTCCGTAATCAACTCAAGTGGCTTCCAATTCACCTTCACAGGATGACACCTTATGAATGTACAAGCCCCTGTTAATAATTACATAAATACATACAAAATTATAGTTTATTTTGTATTACATTCTAAATCGTAACATACCTCCATTGTCGGAAACAAAGTCGGATCCCGTGATACCTTTTGCCTTGTCGCTTGCTAAATATAGAATTAATTCAGCAATCTCTTCAGGTTGAGAACACCTATTAAGTGGCACAGAGGCACCCATAGTGTCAAAAGTTAGTCCTAAATTGCTGATTTTATTATTGTCCAAAAAATCTGTTATCACCGGCCCTGGACTGATACCATTCACTCTTACACCTGAAGCTGCCAACTCCAGAGCAGCACCACGAGTGAAGTGATCTAATGCGGCTTTAGAAGTATTATAGGGTATAAATGTTACCCCCGGCGCCATCTTTCCTGCTATACTAGATATGTTCACAATATTACCTTTAGTTTTGACAAGGTGAGGTGCAGCTAAAGTGGTAAGGTGAACGACCGCACGCAGATTCACTAGCATTGTTTCGTCGTATGCTTTTAATATATCACCCTTTAAAATACTACCAAATACACTTATTCCAGCGTTGTTAACCAAAACGTCAATCTTTCCAAACTTATTGATGGTTTCATCGACAATTCTCTTGACATCGTTATCATTAGTTACATCAGCCCTGATAACGAGCGGTGCTTGTCCATCGCGGGCACACTGCTCGGCGACCTTGCTCAGCTTGCTTTGGTTCCTGCCCACCATCACCACGCAGGCACCTTCTCTAGCGAACAGCACTGCAGCGGCCGCGCCGATGCCGGAACTGGCTCCAGTCACTATAACCACTTTGTTTGCAAAGCTCATGACTGTTCAGATTGTGTTAAACTAATGACAATTCGTTGATAATCCGGCTATTTTTATACCACGATGCGTAATTGCGTCGTTAAGTATAGTTAAATGCAAAAGTTTTTGTTTTTGTGCTGTTGCAGCGTGGAATTATTTTTACTTATGCTTATGCTTGATTATTCGCCTTTCAATGTTTAATTTGGTATCTCAACTCACTGCAGAACTGCATTCTCGTCAATTTTCTGGGGGTTTCTTTACTTATTCATATGACATTAACCTGCAATTATTCGGATTGATACCTGCTGCTGATTTTCACTATTGGACAACCTGCCACAAACTAAAGATCTATCGCAACCATCTGGATGAATTGCGGTCCTTCACTGTGTGTTTTTCAAGGCACTTTCTTCTATGTACAATCGCTTTTTAGGATCATTTTCCAGCAGCAGTATTTCCGAATCGATACGACATTTAAGAAAAGAGCATATTACTTTTTAAAAGGCCAGCAACACACCTGTAATGTCTCTGGTATTACGGGTGATAATGGGTGGCGGTAGTCACTTACTATCAAATGAGCAGTATGAACGTTTGCTTCCTAATGTAACTATGCGTTTGTTATGAGGAGAAGGGGGATTAATAATAACGAAGTCCTATAGTCCCAATGCTGCCAATATATCTCATTGGATCGATTTCCCAGTAGTCCCCTTTAATCCATCGCGTTTAATATACTGGCGAATTCATCCTTACCTATCATCATTCGAAGATACACCGCCACTGTTTACTGATAACGCAGGCGGTGTTACCATTCCATTTTCATTCCATCGAAGAACTATGCCTTTGTCTTTCTCTTCCTGTCTTTCTTTCATCTTTCTTTCATTAATAATTTTCATAAGTTCATCGTGTCATATAAAGTATTCCAACAGTATCTACATAGCCTTTCAAAGGCACCTGTTTATAAATATGCTGTTTCTTGTTATTTATATCTTTAATGAAAATACTGTCTGTTGACATGATGCATTATATTTTTGTTACAATTCATTTATTTTCCATTTTTTTTTATAAAAAACTATAATTGTCAATGTATAAAAAGGTTCATTTTAAACAATACCCGATGTTCTTACGTTACATAGAACAACGAAACACTTTTGTATGCATCTGTCTAGATGTCGAACATTACAATGGTTGGGCAATAATACTATAAAATGTTCAAGGGTGAAAACAGTACAGTTAAAGATAAACTCAATAATACCTAGTTAAAATTGAACATATAATACAATGAAAAGTAATTGTATACACATATATATGTAAATAATAATAATATGTAATAATAACTCTTTTATTTCATATACTCACATATAGGTATATACCCACAGTTTACAATCATTGCGACGGTAATTCAATTTTAATTAATTACAAATTTTTACACTATTAAACTATACATTAATAAATAAAATACCAATTTAAATAATTTTACTATAAATTCTTTTATCGTCAGGTATGCAGTAAGGAATACTGTCCTAATAATAGGATTACTTATTGTCATTAATCTTGCATGAAATTTTATCTTATATTTACGTAAAATAGTACATAATAAATACATACGTATAGCAAAATAATACATAATCTACACACATAAATACATATATACATACATATATATACACATACACAGTTACATATATTCACAATTGACTGAATGAAACAGGAGTTTCAGAATGAACTTTTATAATACCTGTTTTAAAGAATTTTAATGATTGTGCCATCTTCAAGTTATTAGGGTTTATTTTTTCTTTATCTCTACTTTCATTAATACTTTAAAAAAGAAAGATTTGATGATTTATTTGTAATGGATAAACTTAAAAACTGCTCAACTGATTTTAATAATTCTTTCATGAACGATTCATTACGGATGAGTATAATAGGATATATTTATTTATCAGTTAGATTTTTATTTATTTATTTATTTAATTCTTCATTGTACACACCAGTTATTTATAAGAATATGACAGAGGTAATCAAATGTACAAAGGCGAGGTTAACTCTGATAGAGTTCTCTTCCAGCAACACAGAGGAAAGGAGCATCAATGTCAGTGGGTAGTTTTTAGGTCGGTTTTTTTTTATACAACTGAGAACGGCAAACAAGCTGACGGCCCACCTGATGGAAAGTGGTAACCGTCGCCTATAGACATGAGCAGTACCATGGACATAACATAGTATACTGTTTCGCCCATGATACCCTCCATGTGTTGCCATTCCTGAGGAAAAATTCACATATACATTTACATAAATATATAGTTACATCTATGTATATACTGTTATGTTTTATAATTATTAATTTATAACTTTATCACTCGTAAATCGATTTGGAAAAGTCTTTTTGATCTGAGAGGACTAGTAAGAGTTCGAAAGATAAATTATTATTTTATGTTAGTGTTATCGAAAAAGGAATGTTGCGTTGGTTTGGTCATTTGGAGAGGATGGATGAAAGAAGAATTACGAAAGAGATTTATCGAGCAAGAATGAATGGAGATGTCGGTAAGGGCCGCCCTAGATTAAGGGCCAAATTAAAAGTACCCGTAACCGGCGAGCGTGTATGAAAAGATTGAGGAATGTGGAAGAAGCGAAAGAGGTTTGTTTGAATCGAAGCATTTGGCGTTCCATTATTTCTGCCTACGCTAATGGGAGACAGGCGTGACAGATATGTATGTATGTATGTATGTTAGTGTTATTTTTTATATTTTTATAAAACGGGCCACACCTTCCTATTGCACGAGTTTCGTAAGAGGCGATTAAGAGAACATAATGGTCGAGGGATTAGCAACAATGTCCCTCTTAAAGTATCACTAAAAGCCTAACTGCGGTTGCGAAGTCCAAGGTTCGAAGTCGCAATCTTCCAAGGCACCCCTAATTACTTATCTGTGACCTGGTCACTACTCATAACAATTTGTGTTATGAGAAGTGGACAGTTAATGATTTATATAATGACGATGACGATTAGCTTTAATTTGGAAAATTTTTAATCCGGTTACATTATTATATTTTTCATGGTTGTCTATATTAAAAAAAAAAATAATATGCAGCTTGTTTTATTCTCTGATAAGGTACCTTTATATAGGTTAAAGAATTTTCAAAATCCGTTGAGTAGTTTTTGAGTTTATCCATTAATTAACAAACAAGGGCCCTCACTGGACATTGCAAACTAAAGAAGCATATGTCCCAATTAGGCTTATGCCCAAAAAGTGTTTACAGATTTTGTCACAATGAGGAAGAAACGCCGCAGCATTGAATGTGTGGCTGTAGCCCACTCATTGATAAACGATATATCTCCTTTGGAAAACACACTTTATATCCTGAGGAAATAAAACACGTCCCTACAAAAAATATCTTCAAATTCCTATCATTGATAGGAATTAGTAGCGAACTTTTAAAAAAGGCGAGCACAAAGTAAAATGTCGCAGTATCACAGGATTTTTTGTCTGAAAAAGCCCGTTTTTTAATAATAATAATAATACAAACAAACAATCAAATCTTTTCTTTTCATAATATTATATTACGAATTAAAAAAACAGTCGACTACAGTAGTTTCCGACAATTGTTTCGAAAACATATGTTATTATGTGCTCTAAGTGCTGCGGGCCGCAGTGCGAGGTGAGGCGTTACGACGTGAGTACCGTGTTCACCTTGAAGAAAACTTCTGTATGAAGTTAACACAATTGTTGGAAACAACATAGTAGGTAGACTAATTGAAATCTCGATTTTTAGTCATATACTATATATATATATATATATATATATATATATATATCTTACGCCTTTAGTCACGTGATTCAATATATATTAGTTAGTATGTAACCTATCCGTATATCTACCAGATTTTCTTCAAATTCATTCATTAGTTTTGCGTCAAAAAGTAACAAAGATGTGAATGTTTGTTATTCTTTGCCCATCTATATAATTGTACTTAATTAGATAGATCTAAGCGTAGAGTAAATAAGCATAGGTACAATGGGTAGACCCATTGTACCTATGCTTATTTACTCTTTCCCAAATTATTTCATATCGTAATGTTCATCAAAATAAAAAAAAATAGACAATATTTGATGGATAAATAAAAGTAATTAAATAATTGTAATTTATTTATTAGAAAGAAGGAAATTGTAAAAGAGCTCCATTGTCGGAAACAAAATCAGATCCCGTGACGCCTTTTGCCTTGTCACTTGCTAAATATAGAATTAATTCAGCAATCTCTTCAGGCTCGGAGCACCTCTTAAGCGGAACTAATATATATATATATATATATATATATATATATATATATATATATATATATATATATATATATATATATATATATATATCCATCAAATATTGTCTATTTTTTTTTATTTTGGCACCTAAATTATCCCAGGACATATTTGATACACCTGTATTCTCTATAATATTCGTTCGCACTGGCCCTGGACTGATGCTATTCACTCTTACACCTGAAGCTGCCAACTCCGGGCAGCACCACGAGTGAAATGATCTAATGCGGCTTTAGAAGTATTATAAGCTGCATACCCTACCATGGAAATAGTCTTCCCTGCTATACTAGATATATTTACAATATTGCCTTTAGTTTTAACAAGGTGAGGTGCAGCTAAAGCGGTAAGATTAACCACTGCACGTATGTTCACTGCCATTGTTTCGTCGTACGCTTTCAATATCTTTCCACTTAATATATCACCTTGAACACTAGTACCAGCGTTATTAACCAAAATATCTATTTTGTCAAATTTGTCAATAGTTTCAGTGATAATTCTCTTGATATCGTCATCGTTACTAACGTCTGCATTGATCACGAGAGGCGTGTTACTATTGGCGCACTGCTCGGCGACATTGTTTAACTTGCTCTCATTCTTGTCCACCATTACTACATGGGCACGTTCTTTAGTAAACAGCACTGCAGTAGCAGCTCCAATGCCGGAAGCAGCGCCAGTCACTATAACAACTATACCGTGCGTTTTTCAAGGCACTTTCTCCCACGCACAACCACTCTTTGGAATCAACTTCCAGCAGCAGTATTTCCGAACCGATACGACAACATAACTTTCAAGAAAAGAGCATATTCCTTTTTAAAAGGCCGGCAGCACACCTGCAATGTCGTTGGTGTTGTGGGCGACCATGGGCAGCGGTAGTCATTTACCATCAGGTGAGCCTCATGTTCGTTTGCCCCCTGTGTTGTAAAAAAAAAAAAAAAACTTGCAGGGCTCATTATTGATCTAATTATATTAAGCAAGTGATAATTATTTGATAAATTCTCAATATTTATAGCAACGTGATAGTGTCATCGAGTGAGGTCGAGTACATAAGTTTATTACGATACTTTTTTGTTATTACACTGTGATAAAATAATAATAAGTCTCTTATATCTTTATTTTTAACTAATGATATCAGTCGTTAACTGTCCAATACTGAACATAGGCCTCATCCTTAAGGGGTCTTTGCCAGTAGTTGCCGCGATTGGCATGCGTGTTGGCAACTGCAGGTAGGCTTTAGAGATGTCCCCTGATAACCCCTCTAGGGAGAGGCTTATCTTCAGCAGTGGACTGTTAAAAGCTGATGAAGATGTGTTATTGTAATTTGTAAGTTATTATGAATACGTCTATAACTGTTTTATCTATAACAATTTTCAATTTTTTACCGTTTAATTACATTTCTGTTTTGCCAGAGGTTGACTGGGAGAGAATGCTATAAAGCATTAAATTCTTCTTTTGTACCAGGTTTTTTGTAATGACAAAAATAAATAATTAAAAAATAAATTATACACTTTTGTGCGTAACTGTCTTGATATCAAGAGTCACAATGATTGAGCAAAATTGGATTGTCTCAAGTTTCGTATATTCATAATGATAATTATATTTGTAATAAAAAAAAAATATTTAAAGTAATAAGTAAAAATGTATTTAATATCAAAGTATGTTTTTTCACACAATTCAGTATTCGTTCCTACACTAGGCTAAGCCTGTCCTGTATATGTATATTTTTATTATATTTTTTAATATTTTTAAATATATTCAGTAAATGCTTAAATTTGTATTAAAATAATAATAAATATAAAACAAGAGCTTTTTCCTAATTACAAAAATCTCATGTTTCTATTTTTTCTAACTATATAACGCACATTTTTTTGTCTATGTGGGTATATCACGACTGCTCTCGTTTATTTAATCTGTCAGTTTTTTTGTGGTAAATTTACGGATTTTTTTAAATATTTTACTTATTCTTTATATGTTGTAGGAATTGTATGTTTCTCTAATAAAGTAAAATAAAATAAAATGCCGTAATCCATCGGTAAGAGCCGATACTTTGTCGTCCCTTTTTCACGGGATTACATAAACATTCATAAACTCTCGATTAAAAGCTCGAAAATATCAAAATTATTTTTTCTTTATTATTTTTAATTTATTTTACTTAATTTATCTAATTTAGTTCTAAAAAGCCAGTTAAATTGCAAAGTTAAATAAAGACAAATAACATGCTCATCTAAAATGTTTAAAACTTTAAGTTCTTAGGAAATATAATCACAGTGGACGTACACATTGGATATTAAATCTAGAATAACAGTCGCAAAACAGGCCTATGATAACAAAAAAATATGTATTTACATCAAAAAAATCAAAAATAATCTATTAAAATTATTACAAAACCTTACAATTGGAGTATAGTGTTTTACAGGTGTGAAACATGGACAATGACATAAAAAAGAAGAAAATGCTTGAGACATTCGAAATGTGGACATGGAGTAGAATGGAAAGGATAAGCTAGACAGAAAAAGTAACAAACAAGGAAGTTTTGGAAAGGGTGAATGAGAAATGAACATTAATAAAAACAATAGAGAATAGAAGAGGCAAAATACTGGACCTTGTAGAAATATTAGAAGAAAACATAGAGAACAAAAGAGTAAAGAGGAAAAAGGAGTAATGTCATATAGGGAGGCCAAAGATGGTTTGGAATAAAGCTGACTGGAAGAGAATGCATGAACTAGTTACTCCGACAAGAATACACTCTTAAATAAAAAAAATCTTAATTTGGCTACGAAATACAAAAGTGACTATATTTATCGTATAATCCATGTAAAATATTACGTGATACTCTGTATGTTATATATTTGCATAAGTTATACAAAGCAACACACTCGTAGGTTATATTTAGATATAACAATTATGTTTTACAAATTACCTGTATACAAAATTTTATTAGTCGGAAATCTTCCCTCGCCTCAGCTTCCCATAATACCGCAAAACTACTCTTTAAAGTCATATATCGCTTCAGGAATATTTAAAGTTACAATTGTTATATTTATATTGCTGTTTCAATTGTTTAAAATGACATACGCAAAAAAATTATGGTGTAATCGTGTGGTATAAATAGCGTTCTAATATCAAGTGACGTCCAGTTGTTTTATGTCGTTAGAAGAAAACTGACTTATTATGGGTTTCAACAACAAAGTGGTCATAGTGACGGGAGCTAGTTCCGGCATCGGCGCGGCCGCTGCGGTGCTGTTCGCCAAAGAAGGCGCCCGCGTTGTTATGGTGGGCAGGAATGAGAGCAAGCTGAGCAAGGTCGCCGAGCAGTGCGCTCGTGGCGGGCAAACACCGCTTGTCATCAGAGCAGACGTCAGCAACGATAACGATGTTAAAAGGATCATCGATGAAACCATCAAAAAGTTTGGGAAGATTGACATCCTAGTGAACAACGCTGGAATGGGAAGTTTTGGATTTATATTGAATGGGAGTATATTGAAAGCGTATGATGAAGTAATGGCAGTGAATATGCGCTCGATTGTTCACCTTACCGCTTTAGCTGCACCTCACCTTGTCAAAACTAAAGGCAATATTGTGAATATATCCAGTGTAGCAGGAAAAATGACTTCTTCCGTTCCAGGCTTTCTAGCATACAGTGTTTCTAAAGCCGCATTGGACCATTTCACTCGTGGCGCTGCTCTGGAGTTGGCAGCTTCTGGTGTAAGAGTGAATGGCATCAGTCCGGGACCAGTTGTAACAGATTTTCTAGAAAACGCAGGTAATAGCTCTGTATCATGGGATAATTTGAGTTCATCAGTACCACTTAAGAGATGTTCGGAATCTTCAGAAATTGCAGAAATGATTCTTTTCTTAGCAAGTGATAAAGCAAAGGGAGTCACAGGATCGGATTTCGTTACTGACAATGGAACACTTTTACATTTTACTGCATCGCAATAAATAACCATATGTTTACCTCACAAGTCTATTTGATTACCGTACCTAGTACTTTAAGATACCCTCAATAATTGAGGTTCGCAAGTTTTTGGTTTTTGTTATATCACTAAAGTGGGAAACCAAGCTTATGGACGCCTGTAACCAGTGGCGTAACAATAGGGTGGCAAGGCAAAATGCCACAGGCCCCCGGCCCAAAAGGGCCCCGGCTCAAGAGGCCGCGAGCTCAGTTTTTTTTTACATTGTACCTGAGTATCTTATTTTTACTGATAGGGCCCCATCATCGTGGGAATTTGCCACAGGCTCCAAATGGTATAGTTACGCCACTGCTTGTAACACAAGAGGTGTCTGGTGCATATTTCCAACCCTGAAGAAACTTTAATATACCCGTTCCGAAGAACCCTATACTGTAATCTCTAAAGAAAACCTCGACAGGGAGTTCGTTCCCTGCCAAATCCTCCACAAATTCTTCACACCAGTTAAACTTTTCATATGTACGTACACCTACCTACACGTGAATTAGCTTTACTCAATTCTATTTTTAATCTATTTGTTTATTATTTTAACTGTAACCCATCGTAGTTCATTGACCGAACGAACTACGATGTTATGGCCGTTTAGTTACTACGAAATTGTCATGGTTAAGGTCAGCGCTTAAATAAACATACCAGTTTAAATGTTGAACGTACCTCCAAATAAGATCGACAGGTAGATAGGTTTTTATTACTTTAACACCATACATAACAAGGAATGACAAACAACACATTAAAATTTCATCATATCAGCCTTTAACTGTCCACTGCTGAACATAAGCCTCCCCCTTGGGGGGTTAAAAACTTACAACTAAGTAATTCTAATTCCATAAATATGATATGAAAATAAAAAGTAAAAAGAATAAACACACCAATACTTAATAATGAATAATAATAATACAACCCACCATAAACTAAAATTTCATCCCAACCACCTGGACGAGTGGCGGTCCTCCACCGTGCGTTTTTCAAGGCACTTTCTCCCACGCACAACCACTCTTTGGAATCAACTTCCAGCAGCAGTATTTTTTTTTTTATACAACTTAGAGTGGCAAACAAGCTGACGGCCCACCTGATGGAAAGTGGTAACCGTCGCCTATAGACATGAGCAGTACCATGGACATAACAGAGTATACTGTTTCGCCCATGATACCCCCCATGCGCTGCCATTCCTGAGGACTCAGGTGTTATTCCTCTGTACCCAGTAAATTCACGCCATATCCCACTCTTCAAACCGAAACACAGCCATGCAAACACAACTGCTTCACGGTTGAAACACGAATGGGACAGAGGTACCCAAGCAATCGACTTTTGTACAAAGTCTCCCTCTGTTTTCCGAACCGATACGACATCATTACCTTCAAGAAAAGAGCATATTCCTTTTTAAAAGGCCGGCAGCACACCTGCAATGCCGTAGGTGTTGGGAGTGACCATGGGCGGCGGTAGTCACTTACCATCAGGTGAGCCGCATGCTCGTTTGCTCCCTGTGTTGTAAAAAAAAAAATCCACCGAAATCATTCCAATCGTTGAACGGTCTTATCCCAACCAGTCTGGAACAACATCTCAGACGGTTGGCATTCCGAGGCGGCTCCCTCCCGGGAAAGATGCAGTAAGCGGTGCTCTTAGACATTGCCCGCATTGTACGCCGGTTTCTCTCACTGGGGCCCTGAACCCCGGCCGACTGTGCTTCTGCCGGGGGTTAGTTGCCATCTCCTCTCCTTAAGAGGGTAGATGTGAATTTTCTAAAAATAATAATACGTACCTATCGTGATACAATTTCAACGACTGGATAATATTGTAACAGATCCTTAGACTATTTCTAAAGTGAAAAAAAGTGTTGTCCTCCTCTCTCCTACTTGCTGTGCCCAACAGGGTCCATAATTGAAATGTTATCTACTAAGTATATTATGGAATGCAATAATAAATAAATAAATACAAATATCAATAATAAAATTATGTTCCATATAACCAAACCTATTTCAGTTGTGGCAAAACCATTTTGATTTAAAAACTAATTTACTAAATCGATTTTGATAAAATTCCTATAGGTCCAAGCTGTATAAGTATATCCTTTTAGATAAATAAAAATCGGTAAAAAAACTTTTAAGTTAAACGGTTTTATTTTATGTGCACTGAAAACTACAAAATAAATAAATAGTTACTTACCTATCAACCTACGTAAGTGATCTCGGTCATTAATGTCTCTGATGGTAGTGGTTGTCATAACATGAACCATGTCAGCGGCCGAAAGGCAGTTCATGAGAGAACACTAACACCAGGGTTTGCTTGGTAGGTAAACTAAGCAGCCCGCACTATAACAAGTAGGTATTTTGACCTTCTAGTTCAGAAATATTTTAGTACTAGGCAGAATAGCTTTTAGGCATATTAGACTAAAATAAAAACGTGGGGCCCATTAATTATTTCTGTATTACTTTCTACTATACTAAGTGTGGATTGCATCGACTTATTATAATCGTCATCATCATCATCCTAGCGGTTTATCCCGGTCGCATCCGAAACCTCATAGCTCCGGAGTCCAGGGTCCGCTGAATCGACTTACTATAATCGTAACTGGAGGTTTTGACCATCAATAACCAGCCGTTACGGCTTCACCAGCGAACGCCGAGCTCATGATCTACCAAAGTATGAGATATGCTCTGCTATAGGTATGATTTCAGAGGGGCCCCACGTTTTTATTTTAGTCTAATATGCCTAAAAGCTATTCTGCCTAGTACTAAAATATTTCTGAACTAGAAGGTCAAAATACCTACTTGTTATAGTGCGGGCTGCTTAGTTTACCTACCAAGCAAACCCTGGTGTTAGTGTTCTCTCATGAACTGCCTTTCGGCCGCTGACATGGTTCATGTTATGACAACCACTACCATCAGAGACATTAATGACCGAGATCACTTACGTAGGTTGATAGGTAAGTAACTATTTATTTATTTTGTAGTTTTCAGTGCACATAAAATAAAACCGTTTAACTTAAAAGTTTTTTTACCGATTTTTATTTTCTTGTTTTTAGTATTTAGTGAAATTGTTTACCGAATATTCCTCATTTTATTTAATTCATTCAGTGCATCATTATTACATGGTTTCTTACCTGATAATTTAGTACAATCTAATTCCTCAATAGATAGCCCTTCCAGAGACTTGACTCGACTTAGAGCCACGTATGCTTGTCCTTCCTCAAACCATTTTGAGCCCAAATATACTACTGCATGGTCGACGGTGCTGCCCTGCATTTTATGGACGGTGAATGCTCATGACAAAACTAAGGGCAACATCCTTTTTTCAGCCGTACCATAATTGAATTTTGCTGGAAACTGTATGGCTTTAGGGTAAATAACGTGCATGCCGTCTGTGCCAAAGTCAATTAAAACTGATGATATATCTGTTTCGTACATTTGGGTTCGACGGAACTGAGGCCAAAAAGGTGTCTGAGTGTCAAGTGTCTGAGAGTCTAGTGTCTGAGTGTCTTGTATCCGAGTGTCCAGTGTCTGAGTGTCTAGTGTTTAGTATCTGAGTGTCGAGTGTCGAGTGTCTAGTGTCTGAGTGTCGAGTGTCTAGTGTCTAGTGTCTAGTGTTTAGTGTCTGAGTGTCGAGTGTCGAGTGTCGACTGTCTAGTGTCGAGTGTCGAGTGTCGAGTGTCTAGTGTCTAGTGTCTAGTGTCTGAGTGTCTAGTGTCTGAGTGTCTGAGTGTCTGAGTGTCTGAGTGTCTAGTGTCGAGTGTCTGAGTGTCGAGTGTCTAGTGTCTGAGTGTCTGAGTGTCGAGTGTCGAGTGTCGAGTGTCGAGTGTCGAGTGTCGAGTGTCAAGTGTCGAGTGTCGAGTGTCGAGTATCGAGTGTCGAGTGTCTAGTGTCAGAGTGTCTAGTGTCTGGGTGTCTGAGTGTCAAGTGTCTGAGAGTCTAGTGTCTGAGTGTCTTGTATCCGAGGGTCTAGTGTCTGAGTGTCTGGGTGTCTGAGTGTCTAGTGTCTAAGTGTCGAGTGTCGAGTGTCGAGTGTCGAGTGTCAAGTGTCGAGTGTTGAGTGTCGAGTGTCTAGTGTCTGAGTGTCTAACGTCTGGGTGTCTGAGTGTCAAGTGTCTGAGAGTCTAGTGTCTGAGTGTCTTGTATCCGAGTGTCTAGTGTCTGAGTGTCTAGTGTCTGGGTGTCTGAGTGTCTAAGTGTCGAGTGTCGAGTGTCGAGTGTCGAGTGTCAAGTGTCGAGTGTCGAGTTTCGAGTGTCTAGTGTCTGAGTGTCTAGTGTCTGGGTGTCTGAGTGTCAAGTGTCTGAGAGTCTAGTGTCTGAGTGTCTTATATCCGAGTGTCGGAGTGTCTAGTGTCTAGTGTTTAGTATTTGAGTGTCGAGTGTCGAGTGTCTAGTGTCTAGTGTCTGAGTGTCGAGTGTCTGAGTGTCTAGTGTCTAGTGTCTAGTGTTTAGTGTCTGATTGTCGAGTGTCGTGTGTCGAGTGTCGGGTGTCGAGTGTCGAGTGTCGAGTGTCGAGTGACGTCGAGTGTCGAGTGTCTGAGTGTCTAGTGTCTGGTGTTTAGTGTCTGAGTGTCGAGTGTCAAGTGTCGAGTGTCGGGTGTCGAGTGTAGAGTGTCGAGTGTCAAGTGTCGAGTGACGTCGAGTGTCGAGTGTCTGAGTGTCTAGTGTCTGGTGTTAAGTGTCTGAGTGTCGAGTGTCGAGTGTCTAGTGTCTGAGTGTCTAACGTCTGGGTGTCTGAGTGTCAAGTGTCTGAGAATCTAGTGTCTGAGTGTCTTGTATCCGAGTGTCCAGTGTCTAAGTGTCTAGTGTCTGGATGTCTGAGTGTCTAGTGTCTAGTGTTTAGTATCTGAGTGTCGAGTGTCGAGTGTCGACTGTCGTCGAGTGTCTAGTGTCTAGTGTCTAGTGTCTGAGTGTCTAGTGTCTGAGTGTCTAGTGTCTGAGTGTCTAGTGTCTGAGTGTCTGAGTGTCGAGTGTCTGAGTGTCTTGTGTCTGGTGTTTAGTGTCTGAGTGTCGAGTGTCGAGTGTCGAGTGTCGAGT